TGGAGCGGCCACTACGGAGTCACTTGCCTACACTTTTGTTGGGTTTTAGGACCCATATTGATTTCACACCCTTAGGGACGGAGCAATATGTGAGTAACACAGTGTGTGTGTGTGTGTGTGTGTGTGTGTGTGTGTGTGTGTGTGTGTGTGATCCATCATTGGTGTTATTTCATTATCCATGTGATGATGGATCACATACTAACCAATCTACAGAGACCAATCGCTCCTGCAGTGTTGTTAAGAGGCTCCCTAAAGTGATTATTTCATTATATCATGTAATATTTGTATTGTTTGTGAACAGTATTGGAAAACATTAAACAAAAATGCTGTGTTTAAATTTGATTCTTATTTAACAGCATATACGTCTCAAACCGTGGGCTTTCCACCTGCAGGAGGGTCTCAAATTGGTGGTCAGGACCTCCGAGGGGACCTCTGTGGGGGGGAAAAAAACTGCTCATTTATTTTTGTTCTCATCATATAATTTGCTGCAGAGTAAATTCTATTGACAGTATTTAGGAGTCAAAGTGTGAAGAAAGTCTGCTGTCTTTGACTCTCCCTTCACTCCAGTCGTTTACCTTCTGTCTGTGGAGTGCAGCAAAGGGTGGAGGATGTGATTATGGCTCTCGATGAGTAGCTGCAACTCTTGTCAGACATATTGTCGCTTTAGTGTAGGTGTGAGCTCAAACCTTCTAGATAAACAACCTAGTTCACAACTTTTCCCGAATCAGTCACTCGCTTCAACCTCGGTGATGGAGTCTACAAAGCTCAACATCCGTCATTATGTTCAAGAGCATTCAAGTAAAGACCGTCACAACTTCGAAAACTAGTTGGTGAGGAAGATTTCCATGAAGCGCATTGAGTTCAAACGAGTGGTTGGTTTTATTTAATAGACACATAAAATATAGAGGACATTGGCCGAGAAAAGTCAGACATTAACTTTTTACAAAATGACAGTTTTGAAAAGACAGCAGCTACAGCGCGTTTTCCCCACATACATTTAGTGTAACCCTGCCTCAGTTCTGCTCTTTCCGCTATGTGTGTAAGAAGTTGTATGTAGCTTTTTTTCTCCCACCAGAATCTTTCCAACCCATTTTCTTGATCCAACCAGTAAAAGCCCTCCATTTCCTGTCAGTGATAAACTGCCTGAGGCTGTAAACAGAACTGTCCAAACCAACTGTCAAAACAAAAGGAGAGGAGATGAGGAGAGAGGAGACAGCCTAAGATACTGAAATGATAACCACCACTAACACTGTAGTACTCATTCAGGATATATACTAAAAATAGCATCGTTGAAAATGTATCACAGATGGAGGTCCAGAAAATGTAACTACAGATTACGTGTCATTCAATATTTTGTTTCTTTACTAAATGTCAGGTAATAATATTCCGCTATGTTCCATTGCCATTTGAAGAGCTGTAAGTATATTTTGGATACCAGATTGTGGTCATCAAACACCATTTCTGGGCTTGGATAACGGTGCAATGAATTTTTCGTATCGCCCAATGCATCATCTGGAAGGTGGCAAACACGCATTGGGTCATTTCTGTGCCCAGGCTCTCTTGGCTCACCTGTGGTGTAATTAGCCATGTGATCTGAAGGAATTCAGATCACATGGCTCGCCCGATCAGAAGGTGTGTGAATCAGCAGGGGGAAATGCCCAGGTGAGCTTCAACCCCCTTTTGTGAGCTCCGCCCCTTAGCCCGGGTCCTAATAGTGGGTGCTTGCCTCAACAGTACAAGGTTTCCTTCTAGTCGCGTTCTGTTTTGTTGTTAGGTAAGACAACAGTCCCCCCGGCCAGACTAGCAATATTAGATATATTATAATAATAATATTATATTCAGAACAGTATATTATCACAGCCATCTCGACACATTTTTTAGTTTAATTTAGAGTGAATATTTCTCATTCTCATTTCTCATTGCTGCTCACATAAACACATTCACAGGAACTAATATTGTGAAGGTTTCACAAGCAAAATTAAACAATTTTCATGGCCGTTAGAGAAGCTTTGGTGTTGATAAAGGGAACTACTGTACTGGGGGAAAAAATGTAGGTAAAAGTAGTTATTTCCCCTCAGAATGTCACGTTGAAGACGCATCAATGACACCTCGCACTGCCAACCGGGCCTGACCTCACAGATTACGATTGTAATCCCACATAGGACATTAACTGAATCTAAACACATCAGCAAAGAAACATTGTCGTTTGTCAGTGTTTCCAACAGGAACTCTGATGGGTGGACCTCAGACCTTGTTAAGACGTAGTCCCCCAGACGACAATGTGTTAATAATGAATATTTGGAGTTAAGAGGTCCTCATTAATGTTGCAAAAATGTATCAAGGTTTAAATAAATGCGATTTTTGAATAGTGGCATAAGACAATTTAGCACATAATACACACACGTGATTTGCACGTTTTGCTTCTATAATTTGAAATCTGTCTTTTCACGAGCTCCCAGGAGGCCTCAGACAGTCTGCACCATATCAAGGCACTTAGGAACTGATACAGTTCTTGTTGTACATTCGGCAAAGATGATTTAAATGTTTTATCGAACATCATTTCTGTCTCCCCCCACGTTCCCTCTCCATCTTTGCCTTCGGCCCCCGCCCTTCCCTTCATGTCTGACAAAACAGAACGAGCCGGTGGATTAGAGCAGAGAAGAGGCTCCATCTACTGAAGAGGCTTCGCCGCAATTAACTCAAGAGCCGTGACTCACAGCTTGGAGGGAGACAGTAAATGAAGAAGAACGAATTCCTTAAAAAGGCCCCGTCTGTTTTCTTTGATGACGACGACAGTGACGTCCCCGTTAACTATTGAGCTGTAATGTAACGGCTTCTGGTGCCTTTTTTTCAGACTGACAAACTGATTGCTCATTCCAGGAGAGGTACCTCTGGTACCTGTGTGCCACACAGTCGGCCCGGCATGAAGATACATCGGCTAATACCTTTTGGCGCACGTTGGGCCTGAGTACTCTGCTTGGTTCGCTACTTTCAATTTTTCAAGAAAGTGTTTAATTTCAAAATGTATTTTGTTCATGATGTGCTATTTTCTTGTTAACTGAACTAAGTAGTTCATTTTTTTTCATCCCTCTAGTGGACATGGGAGGGATTTGACAAGGCAATAGAATACAGTGTGATACAAACTGCAATATTTAAAACAAAGAAAGTAGCTTCTTTCTACCTGTCACGTATTCCTACACTTTTCACCTTTATTCCCACTTCACAGGACACAGATGTTGTCTGGTGAGGCCCACAGCTGTAATGAAACCCTTTGGAGGAGATTGTCATTCGTTCAGTTGCCTGCGAGCTCAAAAGCACTCTCAGTGTCTTTTGATGGAGCACATTTTAAAACCCTGTGGGTCAGAACATAAATGCTTTGTGCAGCAGAGACGAGGAGGTTCCACACTCATAAGGGAAAGATGTTTGCGCACGGAGAGCTTCATCCAAAGACTGTGTTTGTTCACGTGTCTGCAGAAGTTAGACAGGTGCCAATGACAGTGAAAATACAAAATGCTCCGTAACTGCTTTAACAATGTCAGCAAACCGGCTAATGTTAGCTCATTAGCATAGTGGAGTAGTCCTAAAACACTGCACAAAGCCCACTGACGCACTCACCCATCTCACACTGACAGGAGACTCAAGTCTTCAGTGTAACTGTCAACACCTTAATCCACATCCACATCCATATATACATATACATATATATATTGTTAATAAGAATGCCGTTAACTCTTTTCATCAAATCTAACGGAGACGGGTAAAGCTTGAAGTAGAGTCTGTTTTTTATGTGTTAAATAGTATTTTGTATTCTTTAAAACAGTCCCTAACAAGTTCTATGAACAATAAAAACCCCACACTGTATTTTTCAATGAAACAGACAAATGTTTGGTCTGATCTCTCAGATTGAAAAATAGAAATACATTCCCCTGAAGTGTCAGCAACGTTTCATTCGGAGAACATTGATCAGACAATAAATGCTCAATAACCCTCTCAGAATTACATTCTGACCCATTTCTAACTCATTCTGTAAAGAGTCCATCTGTGATTTGTGTTGCTGCAGCATGAAGAAAAGAAAGCTGCAGAAAGAAATCACTTTCCTTTATGAAATTGCCTTCGCCTGTCATGCCTGAGCACGGCCGGTGCCGTTTTGCCCTCGCTGGAATTAGAGGCCACTGACCTGCATGCCGCCTCTGCTCACTCAGAAAGAAAAACTTCTTTAATATTCTATGTTATTTGCCTCCATGTGCACATCATTAATACAAATTCACAGGAGATGATCGTTCTCACAGACTTTTTGTTCTCTTTGTAACTCTAACGTGGCGGGATTCAAATTCCTCCTGACGTCTATTCCTAACCACTATTGACCTCTAACCTCTGCTGAAGACGTCACGGGGTGAAGGAAAGATGCTCAGGAGAATTCATGAGGAGTTAGGAGAAGAAAACGAAAAGTGAGTCATGCAGACATAGACAACCAGGTTCAAAGTATTACTTTATTAATAATATTGCCGCTGCAAGTAATGGGGGACAGAATTATGTCCTTTGCTTTCGTAGAGGAGGGTCCAATGGTTCCTATGCGGAAGGAGTGGAGTAGGGAAGCATTGAAGCATTTAGAGAATTCAAACATTCGTGGCGGCCACTTACACCACTTCTGGGTCCTTTCACTCAGTGAGGAACCTTCCGGAGCAAATGAGATAATTCGAATCCAGCTTGTGTATGAGTGTTCATTCATTCATAGAGAGCCGTTCAGTTTGTCTTCACTGATGCAAACCATCGAAACTGTCAATGGGATCCTCTTTTTGTTCCCCACACAGGTGAGCGAGGAGGAGGCGCACAATTGAAGCCGCAACCTTTGTCATGACCCTTTTCCCGTTGTGTGTGTGTGTGTGTGTGTGTGTGTGTGTGTTTGCAGCATGTGTGCACATTTGCGTTCTTCAATGCGTCAGTGCCTTTAGTTTCTGCGCCAGCAGCAGGTTCCTCCCATACATGCAGACTCCTCCCCCTTCCTGTGCGTCCGTATAAAACACCATCTCCTCTCTTGCTCTCTCACTCTCACTCTGAACACTGGAGGAGCAAAGATCAGCATCTTCAGACTCAGCATCTCTTGGTCCATGGCAACAACCGCAGGTAAGACAAAACTCTGATTGTGAAGTGTGTGTCCTCGTTTCTACAAACGGTGCTTTATGGAGTTTTCTTTTTCAATAATTGAATCAAATCATCACATCTGAAATATGGCAAATCTGAAAAGTTGAAGAATCTTATTTTTGAAAATCCTTTTACATAAATGCACCAGTATTTTGAATTTAATGTAGATATACGGGACACCACTGACACGTGTTGTAGTTTGTTACGGTGATTTAAAATATGTAGTAATAAATAAGTGCATATGACAGGTGGATAATTGTTTACCCGAGTGTGGAAAAGAAATGTCGTTTCTCTTAGGTTTTGCGTGAATAAAAAGTATTGTTCCAATATAATATGTATTGCATTTTCTGTGAATCATTGTGTCAAGCATTACAGCAGCAACAATCAAAAGCAAGATCGGGCTCATTAATAAAAGTAGCGAGAAAAATGCCAATTAGACTCAAACTGATTTCATTGCTGTGCAATGAGGGAAAATAAAGTTGTTTTTATAAAAAAAATCAAAAATGTAACAAATGTTTGATGAAGCAGACGGGGAGAGTGGCGGGCTTTCACAAACGTTACAGTACCGCATCATTACCAGCTCACTGAATAATGAATTAGAGACAATGACCAGCTGCTAAAAGGAATTATATTAGCATCAGGAGAATGACTGTTTATTCCTCCACTGTGTCAGTTTAAACACAATTATTCAAATGCACTGTCGCATCCAGTAACATTTACAAAATGACAGTGAAATTATTTCTCGTTTTGTTTTAAAGCATTTCAATGTCCAGGTTGATGAAGAGAGCTGATGATCATCATGTCCAGTGAAAGATAACTAGAGGAGAACTGATTTCCTCCGAGCCGCTAAGGGAAGGACATCGATGGAAGGAAACATTGTCAATAAGAGTCTAATAAGAGACTGTTGGAGATTGAAAACCTCAGAGCGACTGGTGTTGTTGATTCCTGTAATTGGATCATTTGCTCCCATTCCGTTGCAAAGTATCTTCACCCCAACTAATGGTGAATTCCAAATTCCAAATTCCAAATGCGTCGGAAAACCAGCTGTGTAATATTATATATATTATATATATATATTATGCCATCTTTTGTTTTTTTTATTGTACCGTTTTTCCTCTGTCACACCAGTGATGCCAATTCTAGGAAATATCACGTGTAAACCGATGATTATCTAAGCTCGTAGATGCAAACAACAGCGGATTTCGAGGGCTGTAAAACAGGTTTATTTTTTAGCCTGGTCATTCTGTCAGTGCTGACCTGCTAACAGCAAGCAACAATCAAAAAGCAGTGTGGAAAGTTAAATGATGGTTTAGCGATCATTCTCCCTCCGTGACTCTGTCAATGCTGACAGCGTAAATACGACACAAAAAAATATATATGTTTGCCTCAGGTTCCAGTAGGTGAGTGTCTCTCACCTGCCACTGTGTTGTGAAAACTGTAACACAGATTTATTGCTGGTTTCTGCAAAACTGCCTGTGGTTTTTCCCACTCAGACTCTGAACAGGTGGAAATGACAAGAGAACATGAGGAGAGAGAAGAAGTAAATGACCACTTTATGTGGAGTATGTCCTTTAACTGTGTTTTGTCCCCCTCCCTCTCTGTCTCTCTCTCTCTCTCCAGTCATGAATGTATGTATCTGTTTGTGTGTCCTCCTGGCTGCTCTGTCCAGCAGTTCGCTGAGTCTGCCCTCTGAGTCCGTGGTAAGACACACACACACACACACACACACACACACACACGCACACACTCAGGAGGGATGCGTGTCCTCTCCCTCATCTCCCGTCTCTCTGTTCCCTCGTCTTCTAAAGTCACAGCGAGCCGAGGGTGAGGCTCTCGTGTCGGACAACCCGCCTCCCCCCTCATCCCTCCACACACGCCAGACCCGCTCGGCCCCCGCGGGCCCCTCAGGGCACCTGGCCAACTTCGACCAGCTCCAGGAGGACGCAAACGCTCGAAACAGCCTGAGCCAGCTGCTGGCCAGACTCGTCTCCAGGAAAGGTGAGAGCCAAAGTCTTCGCCTCTGGTCATCGCACAGAACGCTCATTTTGTCTTCTTCTGCTCCCGGTCTTGTTATTTCTATCGTCCCAACATCCATCACTCATGCTGAGTCCTGTCGTCCCACCATCTGGCCTTCCACCGCCTCCCTGTTGCTCCCTCTCCCTCTCTCTCTCTCTCTCTCTCTCTCCTCCTTCCATCTTTCCGTACCTCCTCCTCCTCCCCCCGTCTCTCCTGTCCTCTTCCTCTCTCTCTCACACTGTCTCTGCGTGTCTTTCAATCGAACGCGATGTGACTGCGAGACGTGCTGAGCTCACCGGTCTCCCCTCGTTCCCAGAGACGAAACGAGTCAGCATGAGTCCCTGCAGCCGCCTCACTCCCAGTTCCGTCACGTAGGTCTGAAAAGCGGCTGCTCCGTCGTTTTTTTGCGTGAGAGTGACGCGTGCCGTCTCTGTCTCCTCAAGGGTCCCCCTACGAGATCAGATCCTCCCTCAGCAGCAGGGCCAGCGGCCCGGCCCCCGTCCACAGGATAAAGGACAGAGACTACCAGGGCTGGATGGACTTTGGCAGACGCAGCGCAGAGGAGAGCGAATACCCCTCCTAGAGGCGACACGCCTGAGTCACAGCCCCTTACCGCCGCCAACAAAAAGCCCACACAAAATAATGAGCCCTTTTCACACTGCACTTACCGTAACCAAGCGCTGAGCCGACAGCACCCGAGAGTGAGTTTGGCACCATCGTGGATAGATGGAGGGAGGGAGGAGGTGGACACTGGATCTCCCTGCTGAAGGGAAGGAGAGCTTCTCAATCCGCTCCCCGTCGGAATCGTACTCAATCACAGATGTTACAGAGAATGCTTGATATTATTCGATATGTTTGTTATTGTCATGATATCCAATTCAACGTTTATAACCGGCAGTGCTCGTTAGTTCTTTTTCCCAATACTTTCTGACTCCTTTTGTTTGCCAATTGAAAACAAAAATCATTAAAAACAGCTGACAAATGAATGGTTTCATTCTTACAGACTCAAGTCTCCCTTTAATCAGGAGGAAATAATATTGGGGCCGTCACACGGCGCGACTGTACGACTCATTGACAGGTGTGTTTTGGGGAAAACTGGTAGTCTTTTTGCACAGAGGACACACACATCAATTGTGTTACATTAGGGGGTTGGGGACATTTGAAGCCACTTTTGTGTCTTATTCAATTGGATCAAAGCGGTGATTAAACTCTTTATCTTTTATTGGTGCCTCAATGCATTCAGCTGTAATTCACTCACTAGTCTAATCACATCACATGTGATGCATCATTACTTCACACTGCGAATAACCTCTTCTTTGAATTGTAACAAAAGTTAAACAGCACCAACTTTTCGCTCCGCACTCTGCCTGCTTACTAACAGTAACCGTGTGCTTAAAATGTGCAAAGCTAGAAAGCACAGTGTGCTGCTTGCTGCATTACAGATGCTTGACTTATTGCTTCATAGAGCTCGGTGGCAGAAAGTACAGCAGATTCGGAGAGAAGAGTGTTCTTTGTTATTTCTTTGAAGGATTCTGTGGGTATTATGGTTTACATCTCTGTGACATCTTTAAACTTTTATATTCAACCCAAATCTTAATGAAGCTTCATTTCCCTCTGATGGCAGCAAGAAATGATAAATCCCAATGCATCCTTCAGTACATGAAAGGCAGGACATTATCATCACTTCCCCAGGATTAGAACTCCAAATAATGACCCAATATTCTGAAACGGGTGTACATCAAAATCTATATAACCCTGTTTTAGAAGTGGCTCCAAAACGCATCAGACTTTGGGACGTGTTTCATAAGTTTAAAAAGGTCAACATTAGTCAATTGTTAAATCTGTAAAATGGATGCCCCCCCCCTTCATCGATAATTGCAGATTTGAACAGTTTATGTCTCCAGGTGATTTAAATGAAATGCTAGTGGGGAGGTGTGAGATTCACTGAACATACAGGAAACCTCGTTCACAGAGAGAAAATGTGATGAAATAAAGATTTTAAAATACATTACATACAAGGGAAATTGCTGGTCATATTTATTGCAATAAACAGGGCATCTTAAACACATATGATCCAAAATAGGTGTACATGAATGTCACTATTTCAGGGGGATTTTATGAATAAAATATTATATTGACTTATGAATAAAACTCAACCTGTCTTCAGACAGACTCGTCCCGCTGCATAATGTCCACACAGAGAACACACATCACACTTTCTCTCAAAGTCCTTAGTCAGTCGACAGATAAACTGTTCTCTCAAGCTCCATTTAACAGAGAAACACACACACACACACTGTTACGTTCCAGCTCCCAATAGGGAGGGGAACATGACAACCCACTGCTCCGGCCCACCGGTGCCAGCAAAAGGGGTATGGAGTCGCAGTGCGAGAAAAGGACAAACACCGGATATAGTATAACTCTTTTATCAAACCAAATAAATACACATAAATAAACAATAACTTTCTGGGAAATGGGGAGGGCTGGCAGGACCAAAACAAAGAAATAAACAAAAGGTCCCCACCCCTAACCTATACTAACCCCCCCAATCGAAAGACACTCTACCTGGCACACGGTCAAGGCGCCCTAACCAAACTTACAGGTGGTGGTCCGCCCAGGTCTAAACTGGTGTTTCTAGACAGAAGTAAACCTACGGGTGATGTATACCCCGGGGTAGCTCTAAATCTACTCCCCACTCCCTGTGAACAAAAGAGAAAACAAATAATTAGTCAAACAACACAACAATCGCTCTCTTCTGCTGCCACACGTTTCCAAAAGGAACACAAGTTATCAAACACTGAATACAAACGAATGTCTCCTCACACAGGGTACCAACCAAAAGCAACATGTGTGAATATGTAGCAAGCCTCCCCTGAACTGGTCCAAAACTGGGCTTTTTAAAGAGCCCAGCCAGCTGCAACCACTGACGAGGGGGGGGTGGAGCTTCGGGTCCCAATGCTATCTGGAAAACAAACACACGCACCCACACGTAATCCCCGAATTGGAAACATTATACGAACCCAGATTTCTGGGGACGTAACACACACACACACACACACACACACACACACACACACACACACACACTTATATTACTTGAACAAAAAATAGTGATGGAAGATGTATTCAAATAATTTAATTCACTAATAGTCAATACCACACTAATAAGAAAAAAAGACTAAATTCAAATCTATGTGGTATTATCAGGTATTATTCATTTACTTTAAGTATCAAAATAGTTACTCAGGAAACTGTTTTACTATTATGACATTTTGGATTAATATTACCTCTTTATTATGTGTATGTTGTATTTACAGTTTTAATATTAGGCTAATTTGAACTCCTTTATATACACATGGGCAATTTATAGCAAAGCATCACATCCGATAAGAACATCTTTCAAGCAGCGTCGCCGTCTTGTGGGAAAAGTCCACTTTCCATAAGTTCAGAAACAGCCCTGTTTTCAGCTCGACACATTTTACAGCTGATTCAACAGGCTTTTTAAATAGTCCATTGATTTCAAGAAGCAGGAGTTTTCTCAACAAATGAGCAACATTCTTTCAGAACCTTTCAAATTCACCAAAATTGGAAACACACACACACACACACACACACACACACACACACACACACACACACACACACACACACACACACACACACACACACACACACACACACACACACACACACACACACACACACCTTTTTGTATAGTTATGTTGTTTACGTCTATTGTAACATGAAATTAAATGGTTTGACATTACTTTGCTCTTTACTGCACCCACATGGAAACAGAGAAACACACTCAGGTAGGTAGTATTTGCAAACCAAATAAATCATACTTTAATGGATCTGTTTATTTCTTAAATTTCAAATACATTGATTGCAATCATCCACTCGGCCTTCTAGTTTGGTGACACATGAGAAGTGACATGCACACGTTCATCCTTGCAGCCATGTGTTATTCATACAGGGACATTCACAAACTGGTAAACTAAATAAAAAAAGCTAGTAAAAGATGTGAAAAAAAACATCCTACCTAAAAAGTCATTGGATCAATATTTGCCTTTCACCCTAAACGAAGCCGTAGTGTTAGAAGTCATGATCCCGGATTGTAGAACAGGAAATATAACAAATAGTAGCCTTTTGCATTTGCTCGATTAATCTCAGGTATGAATGTTCATATTTTCTTTTCTACCAACAAATAACTTATGGGAAACATTTATACTTCTGCTCCGCTTGAACAACCAACCAAACTATATCAAGCACAATTTCCAGTTTTTCGAAGTGCAAAAACGTAAAAAAGGTGTAAAAAAAAAAAAAGAAAAACATTTGGTTCCTTGTTTGGCTCTTCGTTATTAAATCAGGGAGTAAATAACAGATTAAAAGTGCAACATAAACAAACAATGTATTGCTTTCACCAATATAATTTAAATGAATATCGACAATGACATTTTTGTGCACAGACGTAACACACATTCACACGACACTAAGGTCTGCAAACCGACAACTGTAGCCACATGTGTACACATTCAAACATTTAATGCATAATGACACGTGAACTACACTGAATGCATTCAAAGTGAGAGGATCCTTTACAGCATCTCTATGGTGCTACTAGAATATTAGGTTCTCAATGAACATTTGGCACTAATTATTTTCAGTACGGCTACACTTGTCTGCTCTGTCGGAGTGATGCTTTGATGGCTGCAACGGGCTGTTCTGGCTTCTCAGTTAGGCCGGTGTGGGTTTAGTAGGGAAATGAACGTAGTTCTGTGAGAACATGACGGGTTCTCACAGAACTACGTCAAAAAGTTATAAAAAACCAGACTGAATAGAAACGGCTTCCTACTTTACAATGACTTGCATCCGTCATTTGGTCTGTTTGTTATGACGGCCGGCACTAGATGCCTGGAAATGTTCTGGTGATAATAAACGTTCCTGCTGAACACTCCTGTGACCTTTAAATCAAATCCTAACCTGCGTGCAGACTGAATGGACCAAATGAATGATTGTTACAGACGGTGGTGTTCTGTAATATGTGACCTGTGGCCTCTTAGTTTTAGCATCGTCATGGCTTGGAGATGGAAACAACGACATCAATGAGGTTCAGAAAACTAGTGTAGATCGCTAAGACAGTCCTTCCAAACGAAGCACTACCAAGCCTCGGTTATTATTTTCACAAGGACACGAGCCGACGTGGAATCATGACAATATTTGGATCTTAATCTATGTGGCGGTTTACCGTCTGTTTATTGCTGAATAAATGAATAAGCTCCATGATCTACTAAAAACTGCGATGAGATTGCAACAATGGTGTTTTTTTAAATTACACACATCTCAGTCCCTCGCACCAACGTACACATCCAGAGGAGGTAAACCTCCTCATTAGAACGGTTGCTGACAGTTCAGCCTAACATGCACAACACTATCATGAAATGCTGGTATGACGACATGATTGTTGTCACGTACTTTAAATGTTCATTGCTCTTTATTTGAAGAAACTAGAATTATTCTAATAGACATTTTACTCAGGTTGAAATGTGGCCCTAAGTGCTGCATTAGAACCTTGTATGCGCGGAGTGTATTTCAATGACAGCGTGTATCTCTGATATCTGACACTAAACACCACGTGGGTCTCTATGCAGCAACGCAGTCTTTGGTCACTGAAGTATAGCTAAGAATTAACACTTCCATTCAAGTACCACACTTAAGTGTCAAAGGAAGCTTAACAAAGCTGCTAAATATATGTGCATGTGTGCATGAATAAGTACAAGTCTTCATTTGTATGATTCTGCCATATTGGTAAATCTGACAGTTTGGCTTCGGCCTTCATATTTGTTGCCGCTTTGGACCCTGTTTTTTGGTTTTAACTAAGGTTGCAGTTGCAATATTTAAATACTGTTACAGTGATTAAACATTTAATGGTGGGCTCCAAATGTTTTTTGTGAACCGTGGGCCTGATCCTAAATATTCTTTTTATTTTTCTCTGCTGTAGTGGCAACTAAAGGAAACGCTAAGGAAACGGATATGAATGTAGGTCTTTGTGTGCGTCAGTGGAAACGTCCCATGGCCTCAGCTGCCTTCACTCTCACCACAGGATCTGGATCTTGGAGCAGCATCACTAAACCTAATGACAAACACAGACACAGAGATACCAAGTCAATAAAACATTATTAGTTAAGCTTTTTGAAGGAGGAGAAGGTTGTGCAGTGAATCACCTTTAGTGATGGTGCCCATGTTGAGGTGGGAGAAATGTTCCTCTTGAAGATTCCCAAGAAGAAACCCTGCAGCACACAAACATTATGAGCAGGTCAAATCATAGTGAATAGGAACACACACAATCAAATGTTCATGTTGTGGAGTTTTGCAGTCATACCTATAAACATGGCAGCTCCTGCCCTGACCTCCGCCCAGGTGCTCTTGAAGAACTGGATGACTGATATGTGATAAAAGTTCAGCATGCCTGGAAAGTCCTGAATCTAAAACACAAAAACATGCACTGAACATCAAACACGATGAAGAGCTTCAATGCAATTCAACAAAATAATATATTCTCACATTGCAGAGAAACTGATGTTGATTCTTCAATTGACTTTGTGTTAAAAGCAGTAACTGTACAGATGGAGAGGAGCCTTTTCAGATTTCATTGTTTCTCAATTTCCAACTAATTTCACAAAGTAAACACAAACTTTGTAAGGAGTTGTAGAGTTCATCTTATTGCGTGTCTCACCAGGTACTTGGTGAGATCGTTGATAAACTCTCCATAGTGCAAACTCTTCTCATCGTGGAGGTGGTTCTGAAACATGGCTGTGATCTGCTCTGATCCCACGACGGGAGCACACACTCGCATTGAAAACTTACAGGCCTGGACCAATGCAAAACAACAGGATCCACATTAGTATTAAACAATACAGTAGTTTTTATAATGACACAATACCAGTTTCAATTGAAGATAACATTTTCCCCAACTTACTTTTGTTCCAGTATTAATTACGAGAATAACCCCGACGTGTGGGCACATTTCCTACTCACCTTGACCACCCGTGGGTTTGGGTCCACCAGGTGTAAGAGCAGGCTGACAAGGACATTGTGGATCTGGTCTTTGAACACTTGCTCTCCTGAGCCAAACTTGGACAGGTTTCCCATGAGATGGATGGAAGCACAGCGGATGTCATCGTTCTCCTGAATGTGAGCACAGAGAAGCAGTGTTAGTGTCACACGTGTCTCTGAGAGTGAGGAAACGGCTTCCCCCCACAGGTTCTACACACCTACAAACATCAGCTCTGAATGACTATAAAACAGACGGACACAAAATAACTCCAGCGTGCATTTAAAAAAAACAAATCTGGAAACTTGGATGACTCTGAAAGTAATTGTCACTATTTAGTAGAACACCACAAACTATTTGTAAAGATTTTAAGGAAACTTACACTTTCCAGGAATGGTTTGATCTTCATGAATATATAGACGACTAACAATTGGACGTTCTTCTTATCCAGATAGACGAGAACTTTGGAAAGACCCGACATTGCTTCGAGGGTAATCAGCTTACCTGCAGGAAATCAAAAAGAAAATGTCCACAATAAACAAGAGGCCGAACATGTAGTATGATAATCATCATGGGTGTCTGGAAGGAAAAAAACCAAAGGAATCAGGAGAGCCAGACTAAAGATGACTGTAACTTAACTTTTTCCATCATAAGAAAAGACCCTGCTGCCCACTGACCTGGATCGTCTCTCTCCTCCATGCCTGAACTCATGGCTGCCAGCAGCTCTTTAGCATATTTGTTTACCTGGTGGTAGGAGGAGGAGAGGGTAAGACAAAGGACCCACGACAAACTTCAGCTATGTGCTCTCGTGTGTGAGCGTCATATGGACCTTCTCAGGTGATCCCACTGCTATGTTGCCCAGCCCCCTGACAGCCAGCATGCGGACAGTGCAACAGGGGTCCGATATCCTCTCCATCATGTTGTTCATCAACACATCTATCAACATCAGCTCTGTCACCACGTGGTGGTTTAAGAGCTGGAGTCAGTAAAGGAGAGAAACAGGGATTCATGTTCAGGTATTGTGCTGTTCAATGAAACACTTAAACCCTCCAACATGGACAGACTAGATTTACACAAATATTTCATGGTGCATCACCTCAGAGAAGAACGCAGTGACGGTGATCCTCTGGCATTCGTAGATGTTGTTCAAGGAGGGACACAGACACTCCACGATGGAGGGCAACCTGGGTCCAGCATGCTTAGCCATTGCCCTGGACACAACAGAAGCATATTTAAGTTTGCACTGCTTTGTACATAAATAGGGGATTCATTGTTTAGAAGTCACATTTTCTTTATGAAGGAGAGACATACACCGGAGTAAAATGCACTATAGGAAATACATTTTACTCATTGTTAGGAGGGGTAAGAATTGATTTGTGTTCCATTCCTGGTACCTTGCCAGTAGAGTAACTCCAGTAATGTGTGTATTTAGCTCCTTAATTGCGTCCCAGGCTTTATCTTCATCCAGTCTTTTCATCACCTCGTCTAACTGAGCCCGCGCCAGCAAGATTCGCAGAGCGTCGGCTGCCACCCTGAATCACAAAAAAAAAGGTGACACCACAATGTCAGCTACACCCGAAGCTAACTCACTTCATAAGGATATGTTATTGGATCAAACGAGGACTAAAATGCCCACCCTGCTACATGGACGGAGGCAGTTTGTTTAGTGTTGTGGTCTTTCGGTGCAGAGACCCCGACGCTTGCGCCCAGTCGGACAGTGAGACACGAGAAGAGCTGAGGAAACATGCCGACTGCCGGCTCCTGACTTTGGCCGTTTAATAACAGCTCTTTGAGACCACAAGTCATCTGGAAACAAAACAGACAGGGACACGGGTGAAAGGAGATCTTCTTCTGCAGTTTCCGTTTGGTTTGCAGCTGCTGCTGCTGCTGCAGAAGACAGCCAAGTGGTGGAAGGGACCAGAGTCGCATCCATGCAGCGGCCGAAAAAGGCCTACGGGAACTTCTCAGCTTTAAGCCCGTTTATTAAGTGCAATTACAGTGGTTGTCTAGTGATGCATTGAGCTGTCAAAATGCACAGGACCGATTCCCAGTACCTGAAAACGTCAACACTACAGCTGTGATTATTTACAGCTTTTGCTACGCAGGCTGTGTAGTAATTGTGTAAATTAAGAAAATGGTTAAGACAACCCTTAATCATTAGGACAACCACAAATTCAGCCACAGTACATGCAACTGAATACCATACACAGTTTACACATGAATGCTTCTTTATAGTTTGCCTCAAACGGCGTTGATTTCTTACTTTGATCTGTGTGAATTGTGCAGGTTAAAAGAAAAGAAAATCATGCAGAAATATCATCATCTTTATCTAGAACGGAATACACATGGCGTATTCAGTGACGCGTCCGTGAGTGTTCGGGACTTACAGCCAGCGGCTGACTGGTGGCCACCTTTTTTGTCCCTCCTCTCATCATCGATTCCCTCTGGTCTACGTAGGGCGCCATGATGAGTAGCTTCTCCATCAGCATCCCCAAGATCTGACTGGCTACAAGGGGGTCTGCTCCCAGGGCCATCCACATCTCACCTGTCCAGCTGGCCAGGGAGATAGAAAAAGTCAGTGTTGGAAGTGTCTTTCATTTAAACAAACACTTGCTTTTGTCCTGCAGAATCCAAAAAATGAGCACAACATGTGTCGCCATGCTGAGTTAGTGTATAGAATTATAGGTTTTGTAACTTTACCTGTCATAAGGAAGTGGTTTGTTAACTAGTGCATTGATAACAGCCTGAAGATGCTGAGAAGCCAGGATTAGTACCGTCTGTCCCACTGCCACTCTCACCTTAACACAGGTACAATAAACAAACAAGAAAGCAGGTATAGGTGGTTAATAATTTGCTCATCTACGGTTGACAAGATAGAATCACACAACAAGACGATGGTTATTGCAAAATACCCCTGACAAGGGCGTGTTGGTTATCGAAGACAGAATCAGAATAACAAAACAGACTATTGAAAGTTTAATATCTATGCTGATTATTACTGTGGATGTGTGTTACCTGCTCCTCTGTGATGTTCTGCAGACGTACATGTAGCGCCTCCAGCATTTCTGGGACCTGTCACACAAACATCCCTCTGTTTGGTATTCCAGATGTGTGTGTCGAATAACTGAATCAATAAGCGGATGCCACAAATGAGCGAGAGTCCAAGTATATGTTTGCTACCAGCTCCTGGAGGCCTCCCCCTCGGTTCTTCAGCAGAGTATTTAGGATGACCGATGAGGCCCTGCAGCAGTTTGGCTGACTATCGACCAGCCCTTCAAACAACATGAACACCAACGGGGTCAGCTGCTCCTGAGGCAGACGCTTACTCATCACCTGACGCACACAGGAATAGACACAATATAACAGCTTTTATTAAAAAAATAATAGGTAACATTAGTCAGTGTGTGTGACTATATTATGCAGGAAGTTAAGCAGGATGAAGGCGTAATAACAGAACGGTTAGAGAGTTTTGTACTAAATGGCACGATAATCCATCAGGAAAAGAAAACCGAGAGGAATCAGTAGATGTAAAATATATGTATTTAAGTGTACCTTTGTCAGGTCAGAGCAAGTCTTGTATAGAACTGAAGGGTCAGGGTTATCTAGCCGGCCTTTTAGGAGCAACAGACTGTCCACACCGTCGTCCTTATAATCTAAGGAGAAACCTACACATACACACACGGGGAAAACAACCAACTGTCAAAAACTTACATTAAACATTAAAAGGTGTGTCAAAGCTGGAGCGTGTTAGTTGGGTGATGAATTCATTAGTAATTATTAGGTGATTTGCTAAAAAAAAAAAAAAGACTGACAAAGGTAAAAGGTGAGCGCTCTGTGTGTCTGTACCTTCATAGCGTAGCTGTATGTAAAGCAGAGAGTGTATGCAGTCCATAGCAGCAGTGCGTACAGCAGGGCGAGGGTCAGAACATCGTGGAGACAGTCGACCCAGCAGAGCTCCAAGGTTGTGGAAAGAAACCATGTTCTACAAAACGATGCACAGAAACAAAAGAAAGGCTCACAATGTCAGATTAGCTTCAACCAAGGACGAAATGCATCCGCGCTGACGGGATGATTGAGCAACCTTGAATGGATGAATATGGGTAATGCTAGGGAGCATTTACATTCAAGTTGCAATTCACCCTTTTTCAAAACTGAGATCTGTGGTGTTTCAGGATGGCTAAACTGTGGAAAGACAAACATGCAGCTCTTTGTCTGAGTGAGTGAGTGTTTGTTACCTTGACAGTCAGTGTATCCAGGTAGAAAGCCAGCATGTGAGCAGTCACTGTGACAGCTCTCTCTCTCTCGTGGTCCTGTCCAGAGCTCAACCAGGATTCAATGTGCTGCAAATAATAATAAAACCATAGTCAGACTACGCAGTGTAATACACGCATGCCAGTTTATGAAGGCCAATCATTATTTTTCAATTAAACAGCTGTACAACAAATAATTTAAGGAGGGGCAACCAAAGAAAAAGCTCTGGGATTCTTTCTCAGATAATAGGACTAATGTAGCGCCAGAAGTAACTCAAAACACATTATTTTAAAGCATCAGTTAAAAACGCTGGAAACTTCCAAGAAATTAGAAATAGGCATTTGTACTTCTATAGAAAAACGAGGTGACACAATTAAGTCCCATTATTATTTGTATGTTCAGCTAAAACACTGATTCATCTGAAACAGCAAGCTTCACCTTGAAGACACTCTGCAGGCCATCAGGGGTGGGATCCTTGACCAGAACACTTTTCAGAAGCTCCTGCAGTGCAGCCAACGTGTCTTTGTACAACGCCTGATAATATTTACTAGGAAAAGTTAGTCTGAACACATAAAAGCATTTGACAAATGTGAACATTAATCTACAGAAGGAGGAATGTTAATAGATAAATACAGGGCAGATTTGTGAAGTATTCGCTCTGAATTCACACCTTTCTCTGCGTGGGGTCCAGTGTCTCCTCCTCTTTTGTTTTCTCTGGTGTGTGCGTCTCAGATGGCAGAGAGAACACACCGTTCACACAAACCTTCAGCAAATCAAAGCTCTCATTCTCACTGAGCGCAGGGTCCAGAGGCCTGAAGCGCTAAAGGTCAAAGAAAAAAAAGAAAAAAACTTGGAAATCACGGAACCTGCGGTGCAAGAATGCATGGACACGTGAGCTCTTTGTGACAGACCGAGTCACTGAAGCTGAAGGATACATGAGGTTGGCAAAGGTGGTCATCACTAGATGGCGTACTGGAGTCCTCAACAAATCAGCTGGCTCTGCTTTGATAAAATCCTAACCAGTGTAGACGAAACAACCGATGAGAAAAACATTATTGTGTTGGAATTTAACTTTTTCTAACAGAGAAATGACCAACTACTGACCAGCATAACAGTGATGAGCTCCTGTTTGCGAGAGAAGACGTAGCCTTGTTTCTTCACACACTCACTGATGGCTTTGGCGATGAGCCCAACACTCTGGATCAAACTGAGCTTCATGGTCAGGTCCTGAAATTAGGGGAAAACACACTGAGGCATGTTGACAAAATGCAAACAACTCGAGATGCACAAGGCAGACAAACAGAAATGGCATAACCAGATCCCAAGATTCAAGTCAGGAGGGAAATTAGAGTAAATATGAAGTCAATCAGATAATTGCATTATCCAAATTGTCAGGAATGCAAACTAGGCCAACTGCAGCCCAGTTCAGCAGAAGCAGCTCTACAAGCAGCTGAGTGTTAGCAAACACAATCCAAAATCAAATAAAGCAATCAATCCACACAGTTCATCAGTCGATCAAATCAATAGCAACATTGCAGATTGATCCTCCATGCCTATGGATGGGGAGAAGTTTAAAATCAGTTATGAGATTAGAGATTGGTTGAGCCGCACAACACCTGCAGTCTCTGGTCTAAAAAGTGACAGAAGAGCTGTTAAGAGTTAGCAAGAAATGACAAAAGCCCTTTTACAGTCATGTATATGCTTTTTAAACTCAATCCACCGTTGTAGGCAAGTAGGCAATATTGTCTGTAGATATATAGGACGGAGCTCAAAGGGATGATACGGGATGACTATTATCCCTCGAACGTGCATCAATGATGCAGCATTGTTGGTAACGGCCTTATAAAGAGAACAAAATCCAAAGAAAGCTCAACTGGCTATTTACAAAGAGGCTTACCATTGAAACTCAGTGGTAATTCAGTGGCATGTTGCTAGTAATGTAGGTCTAAAGCACAGAAAACGATTGTACGGTCGTAAACAGGATCTGCTATCCGTGGCTGTCCGTGGTTTAACATATGCACAGAGCAACAAACCGTCCGACTGAAAATATGTTTTGATTGATGATTCTACTTTTTATAGGTGAAAGATGCTGGAATCCTGAGTAACCGACTCAATGCACGCTGCTGTCAATCAATGTGGAAATGACTAACTTGTAAACAGCTGCTGCCACCTTTTGAAGCGAAGGCATTTTCACCCAGTACGACGAGGACAGTTAAGGTCAACTTGCAGCATTATAGTTGGTCGCTTTATTGTACAAAGCTGGGTTTTCTTGGCTTGTAGAGTTTCAGTAAATGTTTTAGTGAGAGTATCACCCAAAGTGTGCAGAAGAGGAAGACACAAGAAGAAGGTGAGAGGAAGGAAAAGTTCACAAGCATTAAAACAAAGAAAACTGATCGAGACGGCCCCCGCATTCCTGTGACAATACCTTCGTCTCTACTTTAATCCCCAGAACCTGCATGAAATAGAAGTGATATAGTTATGAGTCCACATACATATACAGTCTAATCCAGGCAACGACAAACAGAGCAAACAGGTGTTGCGCATCTTTTTATTTATTTATCGTGTGTAAATGTTCACACGCTAGTAAAAATGCCAAAATCCATTTTAATTTGTAGCGTTCTTGACTATTTTTGAAGACACCTACTGGTTGGAGAGTCTTAATTCGAATAGTTTGATATTTGAGTAATTATTACTTTACAGTTACTGTTTTTCGGCTCTCGTTGAGGAGATCCCCACAATAGAAACAGACGTGGTTCCTAAAACGTCTGTTTCGAGTTGCTACGGTACCTCACCCCTGTTAGTGCCTCTCTTCTCACACGTGCTGGACATTGCACTGCCAAAAAAACACGACCCTTTACATTGAACATGATGCTGACTCAGCAAAGAGAGGAAGATCCCAATAGGTATGACGCAACATGTTTACCTCTCAATAAATGTCACAAACAAACACAGTACAAGGGTCAGTGGCGGCTTGAATGTAGCCACGCTCTACAGAAACACGCTGACGAGTTGATTTCACTGAAATGTTAGCAAATACATGTAGCAAGAATGTAGAGTAACTTGAATAAAACAGGCTTAGATTTGTCTAGAGGTAAACATAGAGGAGCACTGAGTGGGCTGAAATCACACACGGATCCGTTTGAAATACAGACAAAGATGACTTCTACTGGAATATGTTTTCATGACGAGCAACCCGAATAAAAACCTGCTACAGTTATTCTGCCTCATCATCAGTGCGGCCTTTTCTTGGAATGCAAACTATTTAACGAAGCCATGCTACCGTATCATTTGCTTTACCTTTGTATTGAAGTGTTTGCTGATGCAGCGGAGAATGTCTTGATCAATGCGGGTTAGTATCTTTTCTCGAGGTGCGTTCAAAGCCACTTGACCGTAGCACAAGATCAGCGTGCTTTTCACCTTCTCCACCTCAACGTCATTACGTTCCTGAGGAGAGGAAAGGAAGGCGGGGTGAAGGAGGACGACGTACGCTCTTTTACCATCAATAATCACAATAAAAAGTTCCCAGTACCTTGAGAATGTTGAATATGCTTGGTGACTTCTTGAAGGCGTCCGACTTGCCAAACTCTTCCAGCTTGGCCAGAGTTCCTTCCAGGTGGCTGTTGGCACACAGACCAACACCCATTGCAACTCCCTGAAGGATGCAGGCGACAGACGCGGCAAATTAGATGGTTGTGAAACAATCAAACCAATCATTGTGGGGGGTTTCCCGTCACGTGTTAAAGGAACGGGATCACGCTGCGGGTCTGTAGGTACCTCTCTTTCGACAGCATCGTGGTGTCGCGCTGCGAGGAGGATTTCCTGCAGCTGTTTTTTGACCAACTCCTTGTTGAAACACTGTTGTAGAGTCGCTCCTAAACATCGATACAGGAAACTCTAAAGAGAGTGAAAAATGCCCATTATATTTTTCACTATTCTAAGTATGTGCTGTATTGTACTTGTCAATGCTTGAAATTCTACTGGTTGGCTCCCAATTGTTAAATGAAAAGCTCATCATTTGAGTTGACCTCTTAACCTCTCTAAAGTAATTAGGAGGCACGGCTCTGTTTAAGCAGGTCATGTGCCCAAACGGATGATCAGATGACCCTTTTATAAACAGGCAACTTTTTGAGATTTGAGATAGATTATGACCGACCTGAAGCCCTACATTAGGCTTGCTGCAGGGGATTAGCAACTAGACAAACCACAAAACTGTCCTCTCATTTAATATCACTGGACTAACGTTGGTAACTGCAACAAAGCAATCAGTTGGCTTTTGATTTTGTGGGTGGACAAAATGTTGAAAGCGCTTACCTTCTCCTCTAAGGCGTTGTTATACGTGGAAAGGTATCTTGTTGCCTCAGCTGCCAACTGGCACACCCACTTGTCATCATCAATAGTAGCTAGAGTTTTAGACAAGAGCTGGAGACAATTTGATCTTCATTAGAAAGACAATTGAATATTTCCAACAACACAGAGAATGAAATGGGAATGAACTAATATTTGAAATATATTATATATGCAAAACAATAACATTATGTTGGAATGAGATGATATTTTCAGAAACAGAAGATAAACACACCTTCAGCAACTTCTCCTCCCACTGCTTTTTATCCAGGCTCTCTGTGGTCGACTCTGGAAACAACGACACACAGTCAGACTTCTATACTATAGAGGAGGAAAACTACTGTATATATGGACTGAAAAGGAAAACAAGGTAGTGTAGACGCTGTGGTATCACTGCGGGGAAGCAAGGGCTCATTTGTTCCACTACATTTCCATACCCTCTAACGTGGAAAGCAGAGGAGGTATGTCTTTCTCCCACAGTGTCTCTGTCTTGGGGTGGATGTTGATGCTGAGGATTTGAAGGAGAGAGAGAGACGGAGCTCCATGGCCTCTGCTACTGAACGGAAACGCTGCGTTCACCTGGGACACAACGAGCAAACAGGGCATAAAAACACATAGCATAGTACAGAAAGCAGTCAGGGATGATAAATACATTATATTTATTTAAGCAACTAAACTGTACCCCTTTTAGCGTGATTAACATTCTCCAGTCACGCTTCCTCTAGTTTAAATAAACACCTCTAGCTCTCAAGGCCAATGCAATAATTATGAAGTAAGAGAATGTTGCTGAAGCATTAAAGGGAAGATCAGACTTGCTTGTTTGGCAGAGAAACAATTTGTCGAAACCAGACCCTGCAATTGCTCAATAACAATATTTTTCTGGACTGGATGTTGAGTGAGCCTCTGGTTGTTTGGCCTCCAGCCACAAATGGAAACATAGACTTGGTTGTACTTACCAGCAGTCTGACCAATAGTATTTGAGGGGAGGGCAGATTGACTAGAGGAGATATAAAGACATTTCGGTTGGAATAATAATTCAAATGGTAACTTTTAATATTATTAATATATGTTCGATACCATGTGACCTGCACAGACACAGCAGATGGGTTTCACATAAATGCCTCCTACCTTCCTGTGTGAAGTCAATGTTGAAGCTGCTCTCCTGGTTAATTTTCTTCTTGCTGCCCAGCACTATCAGACTCTTGCACAGCGGTGTAGTGGCATTACTGTACTGTGAAGGCGTCAGATAGTACAGCAGCTTTGGCCATAACACCTGGAAGCAAACAAAACATCCACAACTAAGTAGTTTGTCACATGAAGCTGCAGTGAAACATTTTCAGCAGTTAAAAGGATCTTGGGAGGTTGATCGATCAGCCGCCAACAGTTCAGGCAGCAGGGAAGTCTACATACATCTGCTAGTCGTCCAACAGTGGTGGTCAGGAGGTGAAGAGTGTTGTCACACATCGACCTCAGTGCCTCGTTAGTCACCTCCTCAGGATCTGTGGGCCTGTGGCCTCGCTGGAGACAGACAAGACACAGAAATACATATTGCATATTCCATCCACTTAGATGTTCTCCGGTCATGCAACAGCTGTCAAGTTTAATTTGCAAGCACCGTTCTCAACTAGAGGTGATATGAAGCAACTGTGCCCATCGTCTGTGGCATCACGGTCCTCCATTGACCTCATGTACAGTTTCTATTTGATGACTCAATTTCTTTTTGACTTTTTTGGTTGATTAGCTTTGTTTAACATGAGAAGGCTACTTATTTAGGGTACTTGTCTATCAGGAAGATTAAAATGAAGTAACCACAGCCTCCACGAGCATTGAAGGGTATACATGCATGAATACATTGGTAGACCTTTCAAACATTACACTATGAATTGTACCCCGTATGTGTCCGGTAAGGCACAGTGTTGAACGATGAACCGAACCAGCAGCTCCCCCCCCTCCAGCTCCAGGTAGCCGTGATGAGCCATCGCACTGATAACCTGAACCACGCGCTTCTTGACCTGCCAGCACATGAGTGTGAGACATGACAACACGGTGATTAACTGAAAAAAAACAACGTCTTATTTAGGACAAACTGATTAGGACAATCACATGTGTGTTACCTTGTTGCTCTGGTCAGCCATTGGCTGTCTGATGCTGGCCAGAATCAGCAGTTTCTTACTCTCCATTGTGGACGCTGAAAAAAAAACACATTACGAAACACACACAGAAAAGATAAGTGGATAAATAAAGAAGACGTATGTAGTTTATTTGACTTTGCTACGACTGCGTGGCTGATAAATCCATTACTGATGCAAGTGCAGCAACAGATGTGTGTGTGTTTTTAGGGGAAGCACGCGTGAGAGTAAGGGTCGTCGTGGTGCAGGGGTTAGAGAAGGTGTGCTGGGAAGCACAAGGTTGGTGGTTCGAGTCCAGGCTGCCCCATGTTCCATGTCGAAGTGTCCCTGAGCAAGACACCTAACCCCTAATTGCTCCCCGGGCAAAAATGTGAAAAAGCCATGGGTTTAAAGTGTAATGTAAGTCGCTTTGGATAAAAGCGTCTGCTAAATGACCTGTAATGTAAAAAATGTAAAGAGTATTGGCTCACTGGTAGAGTTGATGAGGTGACGCAGGACAACCAGGGAGCCCATCCGGTTTCGCTCGTTACTGTTCTCTAACTTCTGAAGAACAAACATAACCAGTCGGTCTGGGAAGGAGTTAGCTAGAAAGAAAGGAGTTGAGAGGGGAAAAAAACATTAGAATATTTGTAAAATGCAGAAATTATTGCAGAAATAGAAGAACAACGGTGAAGACGGGCAGAGCAAGAGAGAAAGTGAGAGAAGTAGACCAAATGTCACAGTTAATACGATTATGTTGTGGAGGACACTGATATCATTACTGTTGTTTAGACACCGTGGAAGTAAATCAGATGGAAAGGCTTCTGCACACCTTCAGCTACTATCAGACACTTAGCTCGGTCACCACAGAACTACTTCAACTATCAGAATTTCACAGAATGTCACAGTTAATACGATTATGTTGTGGAGGACACTGATTTCATTACTGTTGTTTAGACACCGTGGAAGTAAATCAGATGGAAAGGCTTCTGCACACCTTCAGCTACTATCAGACACTTAGCTCGGTCACCACAGAACTACTTCAACTATCAGAATTTGATGTTGTTATATACAGACGCACACACAGTGATAGACAAAGTGAAGAGCTCCGGTACCCAGTAAGCTGAAGCAGCGCAGGACCTCGTTGTGGTTCTTGACAGTAGGAGGGTTACTGTATTCAACAGGGGCACACACCTGGAGGGGGGGAAGGAAATGTTACACTGCTGACTGTGATGGTCATGTTTTAACTTGTGCTCCCTTAAATACCATTATGATGAGTCATGGCATTTACAAAAAAGAATTACAATTATAGAAGAAGTTTATTGAGACTCGAGGGAAGGTCTCACTGTGAAAGCGACTCATCGACTCATGAAGCAGTAGTAATAATAATAGTATAAATAGTAACAGCAGTTTGCAGTAACTATTATTTCATTGTCTGAAGGAGATGTTTTTTTATTCGGTAGCAAGTACGACAGAGGTATTAAACAACCACACTAAGTTTCAGACTAGCTGGATATAATAAATGAGACATCTGTTAAGGAGAACCACTTTCAAAGCCAACCCTTATAGATTGGGATGACCTGCGTTTTCAAGCAGCGACTTACCAGTACGTTACACGCATGTACTGTTGACAGACTAAGCTAGGAGATTGAGTAAGATCATTGCAATAACTGTCAGATATGGCTGCTCTGTCACTCCTGTCAAATACTGTTGGCCCAACAGGATAATCCAGATCTCTCTCACACACACACACACACACGCACACACGCAGCTGAGTCACTCTGGTAAAATGTTGCAACAGTCAAGGCATTGGGCCAAGTGTCAGCTGAGTCCTGAAGACATTGACTACAGCCACACTTAAAGTTGGCTGTAAATGCAAGATGTAAAATGATTAATCCAGTCCAGATTTGCGGTTTCACGAGGGCGAACAGATCTGTCACTTAGCAGGAATGACTAAGACACCATGACGTGCGCGGTTGGCACGACAGAAACATTGTCTCGTGGTAGAAAGCGTCGTTGGGAATCAGCAAACCACAGCAGTCATATCGGACGGATCCAGTCTAAGCGAATATAATGGAGTGTTGGTAAGTCTTTTACGCACGCATCTTTCTTGAAAGCCAATTCTGACCACCCAGACTGCTCTTTTTAATCACACCTGACGTAGGTCTACTACAGCCCTGCATGGCTCTGTGTCGGTGGAGTGTCTGCTGCTCTTCTCTAACCACCAGTTTTCTACAAGGCCCAAAGCAGTGTATTGCAGGTTGAACTGTCATAGTTCGTAGTTCCTATTGGGAAAACATATTCCAAAAAGTTTTTTCCAGACGAATATGACAAACAAAGCAAATGATAATCAATCTGCATTTTGCAACTTAGCAACAGACAATTTAGAATCCACGGTAATTGGAGGTTTCAAAAAAGTGCTTATCAAGGAAAAACTTCAAATTTCGACTATTTTTCATCTCATTCGCCCGTTTATATAACTGCATAAGATATAAAATAAAATAAAATATATATGCATGTACCTGTACATGCAGTACCAAGAGTAGGCCGTCCAGTTGTGTCTCCAGCAACCTGCTGCCCATGCTGACGGAAGCATCGAGCACGAGGCACAGACTCTGAGCGGATGCAGGGCAAAAACAAAAGAAAGCTCATTACACCCAGATGTATTATTTTTTTTTTTTATGGCCGACGGTTTTGAACACAAATGATATAAATTATGAAATCCAAAGGAAACCACGCTGATGCAGCAGCCAGCACGCACCTTGCTGATGACATAGTGCTCGTTGTTTTTCTTGTACAGGGACAAGATGGCAGGAATGAGTTTAGGAATCTGTTCCTCCAGCTTATCACTGGCCATCAGATGGCACATCGAGCCCACTGCCTCAGCTACTGTTAGCCTCAGCTGGACACACGGAGACAAAAAGACAGGATGTCAAGTGACAGGAACGAGATTAGATAACACTAATTAACCCCACTTATACTGACGTGATACGTTTAAATAGGGATGGGATGAAGAGGGGGAACACATACAATCCTCCTACCTTAGACTCCCTGCTTTGAAGCCAATTACTGAAGAGGATGTCAAAAGCAGCAAAGATTTCACTGGAAAATGTGTCCTTTCTCACAGTGGGATCTGGAGCCTTGTCCAGGTTAGCAAGGTACTCCAAGATACTGTTGCTAAAATGACACAGAGCTGGAGAAAGAAAACAGTGAAATGGAAATTAACGCGAGAAGAAAACATTAGCCACGTTTCCATTTAATTGTTAATAAAACAGATAAAAACTTAAGGAGCATTTCCATCAACTGGTTTTAAGAGAATAGTCAGCTGCACTGCAGCAGTGAGCGATACAGCCGCTGAAAGGATGTAATCTGTCAATAAACAGAGTAGAAGTAGGGATTGCCAATTGGCATTCTAACTCATGTAGGAGTTTTAAATGGACTAGCCTTAATCATACTTTCATGTCAGCTTGTATTGGCCATGTTTCATACATGTATAGTATGTAGACCGTATGGGGTTGTCTTATTGTTGCCCCTCCAGTGCACCGGTGTAATTCCGGAAACACCAATGCAGCTGAATCCCTCTCTGCTACTTAACTGACCAGATCATTATCAGAGAAGTGCAATTGAATTCACGCCATACCCTGATAAAAGGGTGTTCCTTTCATTTCTGAGCAGTATATTTGAACAATTCATTCATTAAAAAGCTTGTAGAATGTTTATTACCAGACGAGAAGACCCACTTCATGTTGTCCTGTTTGGCCATGCTCAACATTGGCAACATTGTGCCCAGAATAGCATTCAGGAAGGGTACCATGCCATAAACTAGAGAACAGGGAAGAACAGTGCATCAATGGGACGTTATCATACACCACTTCCTCTGTAAAGCAGAGAGACATATAATATAAAACTGCAGTGAGTAAGAGACAATATACAAGCGTTAAACGACAATCAAGGCGGAAGAGTTCCACAGTCACTCATGAAACCTAACTTTTGTTACAGTATGCATTCAAACACTGTAAAAATAATTCCAATGCATCTCTTTACTGGTCATAGTAGCTGTTAAAACTGATGACTGTGCTAGCAAACAACAGTCAAATTAACAGCAAATACTGTAATCAGATACACGATGACCAAGATGCTGCTGAGATATTTTAGCCTCTGATTCATACTAGAGTCGTTTGATACCATTTACTAATTTACTAGTTGCTCATATTGAGTTCTAATTCGATTTCTTCATTTATATATACAATAAATATGTAAATGCATCTTTAATTTAAAGTAGATCTGCATTCAAATGTGTTAAGTAAGCTGAATGTAGATGCGTTTGACAGCTCATTAGCTGTCGGAACTGTTGCTGCAGGAAGGTTTGATCCACAGCATGAAACGAAGACCTAGGTTTAAATTACATCAGCAAAACTTTTGAGAAATGGGGGTATAAATTTCTCTTACCATTGGAATCAGAAAGGTTTGCCAGGGTCTGGACCACAAAGAAGTGAGGTAGAAGGCCCGGCTGAAATTTGCATAGTATTTCCTCCATGATGTCATTGATGTATTTGTTACCTACTGCAACCAAAATATTACTGGCTGCCTGCTGCCAATCAGGTATGACCTCCTGAGTGAACCAGGAAGAGTGAAAAGTGAGGAACATAATTTATTATCAGACTTCCTAACAAAAAATGAATTATTAAAATCTCAAATGTTACTTTTGATCGCGTCATCTCATCCGAAGCCAGGGAGATGATACTTTTTATCCTGGGGGAACTGATTTCCTCTATCCTGCAGCCAACAATCAGCTCAATGGTTTGAAGAATCACAACTCTGTGGCTCACTACCAACTAAGGGGGCATGACGAGGAAAAGAAGAAAAATGAGAGACTGTTAGAAGCACTGTTGGTAGGAATGTCTATCATCATCTATCTATCTAGCCATCTAGAAGGGGTACTGTCAAGACGAACCTTTAAAAAATACCACCAACATTTTCATCATCTAGTAAGGTAGTGCCTGCTGCCATTCTGCTGGACTTTAAACCGTTACAGCTTGCGCTCTTATCATGGACAGAAGGACACCACGTGACACCAACAATATGACATGCAACAAGAGGCCAGCGTAGTGAAGTAGTAGTCTTAACATGCTCATGCAGAGTAGGCATGCGCATCTGACTTTTTGAAGAGGGCTGCAAGAGCATGCAGTGATAATTAGCTGCAGGTAACCGTGGAAGGATTGATTAGAGTAGGCATTAGGCTGACACTCATACGGTGTAATGGAGGCGTTTCCTTTGGTTGTACCTTTGGGTGTTTCAGGAGGTAGTCTTGACACATGGCTAACACTCGGTCTGGCTGCTGTTTTCCCAGAGTCAACATGGACTTTCTGACTTGTTCCTGGACCTCTGAGTCTTTATCTGTAGCCGCATCCAGCAGAGCCAGGGTCACCTCTAATGGGGGAAAAACATCACAGAGCAGAGAGAAATCTGGGTAGCAAAAGTCAAATGTAGACAGAAGATGGAATGGAAGAAACACTGGGCAATGGTCGAGAACAATGTGAGGACAGAGGCATGGCTTACTGTGTGTCAGAGCAAAATTAAGTATTGCAGTTAAATAGGAGGCGGACAAGCAAATTGTCAGAAAAGAGGAAAATGCTCACGTTCAACATCCGTCTCGTCCATGGCGGAGGGAAGGGGAGCGGGCTTCCTTGAGCCTGTGGCCGAGGATGAAGCTTCCCTCCCGGGGTACAGGTGTGCGCAGACTGCCTGCCAGGCGAACCAGATAGTGTGAGAGATCAAGAGAGAAAAGACACCGAGAGAGCTGTTGCTTGTCACTTTAACAGTCTCTTGCGCTTGTCTCCGTTATAAACGTTACCTGTTCACTTCACTTCACCCAATACGAACTTCCCCACCGACTACAACTGTTAGCAAACTGGTGCAGTGACTTTTAAAATTACGAGTCTCCACAAAAGATGACATTTAAACAAACACACCTCTCAGCGTTAGCTGGGTTGACTGTAATTGTCACGGCTTTCTGTAGTTGGTGTTATAATATAATATTGGCTTTAACCCGGCTACCGTCCGAGACACGTTAGCATGCTAAGCTAGCAGCTGCTGCTGCTGCTGCTACGGAAGAGCCAACAACGTCCTCACGTCCCGGACTGAATGGAAACCAACAGCTGTGCAAATGCTCCCGGAGCCAACGTGGGGGCCCGAATAAACAACCGCCCCTCACCTCAAAACCACTGCTTCTTATCTCGGTTTGAAGACAAGGCTGTGCCGTCAGTGCCACGGTCAGTGGGGTCTCCGGTAGTGTTTCTGTCAGGTGTAAACACGCCTGGTCATGTGCAACACGTCAGGGAGGGGGCGTGGCCTTGACGTCAGTATCACGGGACTGAGGCCGATGGAGCTGCTACTCATCGTCAACACTACCTGAGACAGTTTTGCAGCAGACTCCTTTATGTTATGGAGTCTGATGCTAGGCAGGACCCTGAAACAACTATGCAAATCTTTCTGTTTTGACAATTTCTGTTTCATCCAGGTTAAACTTCCGAATGATACTGGTGAAATAACTAAGACACTTTGATTGTGCCAGAATGTAAAAATGGTACAACAGAAGTGATAATATGTATCTGCCTTATCAAACTAAATAAAGGACTACGTATCAAAAAACACTGTTATAATATTGTTATTCAAACAATGTTATTTCATTGAGGCAGATGTGACATAGTAGAAACTTAATATTGTGCTAGGTCGTTGTAAGTGTAACTTCACTGTAAAAGCTTAAATAAGGACTAGAATAAGCACATTAATATAAACTACAGCTGTCAGATGAACAGTGAAAAAAGTGCCTTAAGTTATGCGTAGTTCAGTCTAATTTCGACAGATCATTTTTATATAAGTATTGGAAAATAAAAATGTGTCACGCACCTCATACCTCAGCACCTCCGGAGTCTTGATTGCCACATCTTTCATCATTCAGTCTTTAATGAAGGTCTGACTCAGGCATTTCTGCTAACCCTCAACTTCCTCCCTGTACTCGTGCCTGTGCAAGACCAACACCAGAGCTGTTTCACCGTCCTCCTGATTAGTGACGCACAGCTGTCGAAGTGGGAAAGCATTTGTCAACAGGATCCCCAAAAACCCAAATATGCAAACGTGTTTGTGTGACATCCAGTGCGAGAGACGAGAAAGAGGAATTATGTGAATGACAATTCATTGTGCAAATCGTGTGTGGCTTATCCAAATACAACAATAGTAAACAATGCTGGTCCACAGATTTCATGGACAGCTTTGACAAATATTCCAAACCCTCGATTCAAATGACATTTTTGACAGCCTTTAAAAACCTTAACTGTCAATTCATGTTTTACTGCAGCCGATGAAGAAGGAACATTAATTCGTTGAGCGTCATACACCACCCTGTTTCTGAATGAGGTTTTGGTGAGCATAAAATACATTAAGCCATTTTACAGTCCATGTTTTTATCAAACGTAAAGATGTAACGACATGTGTATGTACAGTAGACAGTGCTCAATGCAATATTACATTACATCAATTTCAAAACACTTTATTTACATTGTGAGGCAATTTGAAAAACATTACTTAATTATGTTATAATTAAGTAGCTCAAATCAAAAAAGCTCCACGTCAAATATTTGCCTTGAGACATTTTCACACACCGTATGTCACCGTGAATGTAATGGCCAAACAAAATAACAATTTACAGAGTAAATAGATTTTGTCAGGTTGAAATATTGTTTACATGTCAGATATTAGTGCAGGCAGTAAAAGCTGCTTTTAGTTACAGGTTCCTTACGTGGCCAGTGTTATTTAGCAAGTAAAATATGGCTTCAAGTTTAAAGCCTCTCATGATATATAATGATTGGAAATCTGTCATGTATGGTTTAAATTTAAGAAATACTAGTGCATGAAAATAATGTAAAATAGCTTAGGTAGTTTAAGTTAATTCTGAATTGTGTAAAATAATATGTTTACTCAAACATAATCATTGGAAGAGCAGCCTCAATGCATGTTGATACAAAGTGAAGAACAATTAAACTATAAATATGGAAAATAATCATTAACAAAGAAAAATTTCCAATGCATGACACAGAATATCACGATACAATGACAAATAGTAAAACTATTACCCTGTTACCCTGTAAAATGAGACTTTGCCATTTGAACCAATCCAATTAGAGCATTCACATCATCTCCTGCCAGTAGCCCGTGTCAGTCTTCATGTGAACTGAACGATGTGAGAATCCGATCCCGCCATCCTCTCACTCCAACAGCACAGAAGTCTTTCCCATAGGAGTTGTATTAAATGTAGAGATCGCTGCCGGATCTCACTCAGTCATTAATACCAAGTGGTTGTGTGATATCTGCTCTTGTTATCTGCACCTCATCCTCGCCTTCTCACGCTGCTTCTGTTTTGTTTCTCCGGTTTCTGGCCTCATGCGTTGGCAGTGTGCGTGTCTCTGCCCGCCGGTTTTTTCCTGCATGAGAAAAAATAAGTAATTGGTATTAAAGCATTTAAATGTACAGATAAAAAGATTGATCATTTATTCCGTGGTATGGATTTGATCTTCACATGCCAGTCTAGATGAGCAGAGGGAGCCATAAGACAATTTTATATTTTCCTTGAGTCAAAAACTGTCTTGCAGAAAGATGGAGCAGATGTTCTTCATAAATAAATACAGCCTTAGATTTTAACATCAGAGTCTTCAATAACTTCTTTATGTTCCGTTTTACTTTTTAACAAGCTGGCCAGCATGCATGCATAGGGGGGGTGGGAAGGGACATTTACATAAGGACAGAATTTGGTTTACTGCTCATTCCTGCAGTTGTCTATGGATGGAGCCTGTTTGTATATCAGAATTAAAGTAAACAACCCGTTACCCTGTAAAATGGGCCATATTCAAAATTCTCAATAACTCTGCCTGTTGGTTGTAGGAAATTAACTAACGTACTCGTGTTTGGTAAGAGGCGCTTTGTCGCATGTGATCTCAGTGAGCCGGCCCCCGTCATTAGCGAGCGTCTGCTCCTTTGCATCTGAATGTTGCACACTGCCTCTCGGAGTGGAGATACCCTTCATCTTCACTTCTCTGCCGTCAAACAAAGGTTTGAAATATGGTGATTTAATTTAATGGCGTTGAAAAATAGTGAAAACTTACATATAATCAATAAAATATATTGAGAGACTTTTCCATAATCTACTTACCCGTTGGTTCCTTCTCCTACTTCAAGCATTTGGAGGCCCGGGACTTTCTGTCCAAAGATCTTCACGGCGATGGACATCAGCAGGCCGCAGTGATTTCTGTAGCAGCAGGTGGCGTCTATCACCAAGAATACCACCAGGAAGATCACCATGACGATGGCAACCACGTTGCCTTTGGTCATGCTGCTCACTTTGAATTGAGGGGGAAGATGAAAGAGTTAAATGAAAGTACGAACACATTTTGTGAGTGGATCTGTCACAGTTAAGTGCAGTTAAGTTCAATCTGCACTGCTCTATGATGATAGTTTATGCCAGTATAACTGTATGATATAAGGAGTGAAAGAACACATACCAGGTTGATCTGCAATGGTGAAGTTGAACGTTGCAGGGATGGAGGAACCGTTACGGTTGACGGATACAACTTCCAGTTTATAGTCTGAGCCGTAGGACAGCTCTTGAAGGGAGACAGAGTCAGCATTGGACGGCAGCTGCATCTCTTTCCACTCAGTTCCCTCTTTATCCTGAGAGAGCATTGGAACCAAAGGATGAAAGTAAGGAAACAACGCGACTAAGTTCATTGGTTATTCAGTGGGAAAGGCAAAGGCGGGCTCATAGCATCTCCTACCTGTCTGTATCGTACGTCAAAGTGCAGCATGGGAGTTCCACCATCATCGCTCTGCTTAAGAGGGACGGAGAAGGAGTTTCCTTCTACTTTCATCTCATTGGACAACACAACTGGGCTGTCTGGTTCACCTATTGACAGGAGGCAAAGACAAAATAAATAATCGATGACCAACTCATGAGCTTCGATACTACAGTATATACAAAGAGATACAGGTTGACTGGGCATGTAATTTATATTTTGATATAATATCACTGGCTGCCTTACCTCCTGAGGATGCATCACATGATGTCATGAGCAGCATGAATTTAGTCAGGCAGCAGATGGTTGTTGCGTGAAAGATGAATAAGAAAAATTACTAATAGCAGATGAGGACAAAAATCACAGTAACATGAGCGAATATGTGCACTTGCAATATCCATATATACCTATATTGCACATTGTGTAATAATGTATGCAAAGCTCTATGCTTCACACATATAATATACGGATGTGGTTTGTTTTAACAGTGATCCTTGCTAATGTCGACCACTTACGGAATGCCTGGGTGCGGACGTTTTTTCCGTCGGAAAACTTTCCCACTCCCACAGCATTCAAGGCAGCCAAACGCACTGTGTACATTGTGTACGGCTTCAGGGGGGTGATGGCTAGAGGAGCTACAAAAGTAGAAAGAGAAAGACAACACATCAGCTAACTTGCATGATTAAATGTGGGTTGATTTAAAGTAAGTATGAATTATTGACTCACACTGACACTATAAACTTTAAGAAACGTTTTACCTGAAGCCGGGACCGTGATCTCCTTCCACTGTTCCGTGGCACTTTGCCTCCACTGCAGGACGAAGCTTGTGATTGGTGTTCCTCCACTGATGGGTGGGGTTTTGAGGGAGAAGAGGACAGAGGATGGGCCAGGAGAGACTGACAGGTAGTTTGGTGGACCAGGCTGGGCTGTGTAGCGGGAGGCCGGATGGAGAAAAACAGAAATGTGTAAGTTTCATGGTTTAGTAATGACCAAATCAACGTTTCCTCCACAAAGCCAGACATAAACTCTTACTGTGTATTGCAACGTCTCTTGATGCATTTCCAGCGATGCTGACAGCCATGCAGGAATACATTCCACCGTCAGAGGGGACTACCTCATCAATCACCAATGCGTCATCAACAACGTGGACAGGAAATGAGGTGGAGTTCTGACAGGGGAAGGCACAACAGGAAATGGCCAATCACATGTCGGCCCATTCTCAAATCTGTAGATCCTCAAAAGTAATTCTGTTAAAGCAACAGTTTGCATGGAGTGAACCAGACCGTTGGTCACATCTATTGTGGCTGATAAAAAGTTGCTGAGGGATGTAGCAGTTTACCAGTGTGCGTCCGCTGTGCTTGTTGAGCCAGTGTAGCTCCGGCTGAGGATGCCCGGAGACGTTACAGGACACAGACACTCTCTGGCCCACTGCAACACTCTGCTGCTCTGCTGACACAAACACCTCCGGGGCCTCTGAAATGACATATCTCATGTGTCATCACAGCACAACAGGATGCAGTACACCTGCAGAAGGTCCATGTATAATGGTATATATGTTACTTTTTATTGTTTGTTGTTACATTGAGATTACCGTAAACATGAAGCATAATGGTGGCGCTGCTCTCGGCTATCTTGTTGGTGGCGGTGCAGACGTACTCGCCGTAGTCTGCCCTAGTAACAGACATCATAGTCAACTCGCTGCGGTCTGAGTTAAACTGATGACGCGAAGGGTCAAACGCCACCGGCCTGGGGGGAGGACAAGCACAGCGAGACGTACAATTAATAATGCGGTAGGGATTTGTTTTTCATATGAGTCCAAAAACTGAACTTACATGAACACATTATGAACAAACTAATGCATAAAGTGTTTCTCTGAACAAAATACTAGATATAGACCATCTCTCCCAAAGCAAGGACTTACATGAGCCAGGTGATGTTGGGTTTTGGATGACCGTCCACTAAACACAGCAGGGAAACTTTGCTATCTGCCATCACTTTTTTCTCCTCTTCTCTCAGATGTACAGAAGGAGGAGCTGCAGGACAGAATTGTGGTTTTTATTCCAAATCCTGCTTTGTTAACACTTCAGATGTGCTTCATCATTACGGCTTGAAGCAAAATAAGCTCAATGAAAAAAAATCAATAAGAAAAGATCTTAAGGGGAAAAATGATCTGTCAACCCCCATAACTGCAATTTCATATTCACGTTTAATAGAAACCAACCATTGACAACAACGGAGACGCGGAGCAGCTTCTCGATGTCCCTTCCTCTGATCCGAGCCTGACACTCGTACGTCCCAGCATCCTCTCTCTTCACAGGGTCAAAGACGACTGTGCGATCAGGCAGTCGACGCACACGCTGTCCTGCTGTAGTCAGCGATAGTAGGACGGAAATGCAGAAACAAGAGTGTCGGAAAAAAAATATTTGAAAAATGGTGACAGGTAGAAACACAAAAAGAAAAAAGCAAAGTGGTGTCCAGTATTCAATCATGTCAAGTTAGCAAAATGTTTTTTTGTAAACTATAAAATAGACCCTCAAACACGAGGAGAGCTCCGAGCCCGGGCTGCTGCTCCTACCGTCAGAGGAGATGTCTTTCTTGTCTTTGAGCCAGTGAACATCTACGGCTGGCTGGCCGGTCACCAGGCACGGCATCACTCCCCTTGTGCCCTCCAGAAACTCATGGTGGATCTGAGTGCTGCCAAACGATGGACCCTCTGACGGAAGAAGAAGAAGAAGAAGAAGAAGAAGAAGAAGAAGAAGAAGAAGAAGAAGAAGAAGAAGAAGAAGAAGAAGAAGAAGAAGAAGAAGAAGAAGAAGAAGAAGAAGAAGGTTAGGATGCTTGGTTCCTATGCAAGAGGCCAAGCAACACAAGGATGCCATCAAAATGCGGGTTGCTTCATTAAACAACATACTGATTATTACCATGTACTAACTAAATAAATGTTCAGTTACAATCATCTGTTCCGTACCATAAACAAACAGCTGTGTCGCGACTTCATCTGTGTGTCCGCTGTCGAACATGCACACACAGACATATTTGCCAGCATCCTGCATCGTGGCTTTCTTAATGACCAATGTGGAAGAAGTCTCATCCACCTTTGACACCCTTTCTTCATCGTCGATGTCTTCACTGTCCTTCCGCCACGTTATTTCTCCTTCTCCACCAGCTAGGACAGAAGAGGAGCAGCAAAGGAGGAAGAGACGAGATGGAAATAAATCCCTTTATCATCGTTACATCAAGAAGAAAATATCATTCACTTGTAAAAGCTTGATGTCAAATGAAATTGAAAAGACTCACCTTTACACAACAGTAGGGTCTCTTCGCCCACATGAACCTCCTGCTTTCTGGTAATAATCTCAATCTTTGCATCTAGAGGATGAGGAGAAGAATGTTTTTCTTTTGTACCATTTTCACCTTTTTCCAAAAAAGTCTTAACAATCCGATTGCTATTACATAGATGTGTTCTCAAAAAAGACAGATGTGGTTTGAAGCACCTGACATGTAAGATCAGCTGAACTGAAGACAACAAAAACTGATCTGAACGTAAAAGCTTTAATTTCTCAATATATGGCTTACTTTTTGTAATTTAAGCAAATGTAATGTAATCTAATTCATTAGCCTTGTAACCAGCACAATAATTTCAACTATTTATTTGGTTTTTTTTCGGTTTCTAACTGGAAGAACCCTACTGAAACTTTTGGGGACAAAACATTATTTCCTGCTTACACTTTAAATCACCAACATCGGTTTACTCAAAGTCTCAAAATTGCTCAAAGTTCCCACATTTCAGCGACGCAGCGTTTATTAAACAATTTTTCTTGAAGAAATAAAGTCAACAGATCTCACCTATGCGTTGCAGTAGCAGCATCAAGGTCACCTGTAAGATGACAGCTGATTGTTTCGTCATGATCGCCTGGCTCCTGATTGCCGATCTTCTATCCCTTGAGTTTGTCTGTTGAGTCTGAAGGTTTTCCAGCCAACACAGCTGGATAGAATGGCTTAAAAGTTTTTAAAAAAAAAGAACCTTAAACCTCAAGTATATGTTAATCCATATCACGCTGAAGAGCAGACACTTGCTTCCAAACCACCAGACGTGAGTGTGTGACAGGGAGAGGGTCCGTCTCAGAGGTTATATAGGAGCACCAGATCAGAGGAGATGAGAGGAAACGAGAGAGGGAGAGAGAGAGAGAGAGAGAGTGAGAGAAAGTTTAGCTCTCTCATCCTCGTTTAACCATAAACGAGTTACTGGTGGTCATCTATGTAAAGAATAAAGAATCGGAAGGCGATGACTGAGTGATGTTCATTCCTGTCTCGTTCCGTTTCTCTGTTTTCCTTTTCTTGCAACGGTCCCTACCTGTCCTTTGTCCTTTTTTCTAGGATTTCACCTCTCCGCTCTCTCTCTCTCTCTCTCTCTCTTCCTCTCTGACTCCACCCTGTGTCCTCTCTCTTCCCTCAGGCCACCGGAAGAAATCTCCCCGGGGGGGGGGTAGAAGAGATGGGGAAAGATATTTTAATCATACCATCGTTCAAAAAAAGGTCACATACTTCTCAAGCACACGCAACAAACTGCTCCCCATGTCGGCCAAACACTGCCGCCATTCACATTTCCTGAAAGCCTACATGTCTTAGGATGCTGGAATCAGCAACCTCAATGACACCCATTCTACTGCAAACAAAACATGTCTTCACTTAACTTAACAGCCCGCACCCGGTGATTGCAAAAGAAACAGTATAAGGGTGTCGGCCGTCAAGGCCAAGAACATTTAAGCATCAGATTCTTGTAGTCAAGTCAAAGTCTCATCAAAGCAGACTGAAGAGTTAATTTTTGGATTACAGTGAGTGATTGGTTGATTTGCCAATCACTCACAAGCTTTCGTATTAGCGTGACAGGCTAAATATTATCTTTCATCATCAGGCCTTTCTTACAGCAGACCTCTCAACCTGTCATTGCACGGACGGCACATCTTACTAATAACGATCACGTCCCTGCTCGCTTGAACAGTTAATCATGTTACTCTGAACATCAGTTTCACTCATTTGCCGAAGGGTGCCGCTCGTAACTTCCCTGTGAATGGGACTGAGGGGTCAGTGAAATGACGCTCATCAACTGAAACACCAAGGGACGCAGCTTACTGCTCTTTCATGGCGTGGTGTTGGTGCATGTTGTCAGTCAAACTGCGGTCCTCTGGGTCTTATAACTTCTATTGGCCAACAGCCAGCCTGCCCCTCCCACCGCCGCCTTGATAGCCTACCAGGGTCTCCACGCCGCCGACGGACCGCCAATAAAACGACTCGAGTCCAAAGGGGCCACAAATCAGGTTGACCATCAGGAAGCGCTATTATGGCTCATTAGACCGGAGTGTGCTCATGAAGACGGCCATTAACGAGGGTGGGCACACACACGGCGGCCCTGCATCACGTTCTTATGAGCCCTCCTTGTCAGCGCTCATGATGTTTAGTTGATTCTGGTGTCCACGTTGTGTTACTGCAGGCACAACACTCACCACCAAGACCAGCAAGCCGATGAAACATTATGTAGTCACTCTGAGAACTGACACAGGGACTTTTTGTTATGTTTAAAGGACTTGTTGGATTTATTATGAGCATTGTTCTGGCCTGCCTTAATTTATACGTCTACCTTCTTCAACTCAAAACCTTTTAAAATGGGCTTTAAAATGGAGCCAGTGTGGATGGAGAGTTTCTTGTGTCGAAACTTTTGACTGGTACTCTATGTGTATTTAATTATATACAGACATGAAATCAATGTACACACCAACACACACACTTAACACACAGACAGAAGCAACGAAGTGACAGCTCAAGACGGATGGGAAGAGCGCGAGAGAGAGACGGACTCTCGTGACTGGAGAACAAACACACTCACTCTCCGTTTTGTGTACGTGTGCACGTCTCCAGGTGCTGTGTGCTGATAAGCTGCGCTCATTGGCTTATGTAACTATAACTTCAGTAACTCTGCCGTAGAAATTATATCAGAATTATTCCAAAAGTACTGAGCTTCCAAGTCTACACTTTATAACAACTTACATAAATACTGCCAACAGAACAGAAAATATTGTCTGTATTATTATTAATATAAGATATATTAGTATTTTTACTGTAGAAAATAAATCAAAATTAGGAGTAGTGACACTATTGTTTCCAATGCAGAGCTACCATTTCGTCTCTATAGTATTATTGTAACATGAAAATGCAGGATGTACTCAAAGAGATAATAATCGGTGCTTAGCTTGCACACGTCATACCAGAATGGTTGGTGTGAAATGCCACTGCCAGACACGTCCTCTATACCCAGAGGGAAGCATGTTTGACGCAAACTAATGAGCAAACCACCAGCATGTGTGAGATTAGCTTACTGAAATCAAGCTCTAAGCAGTGTAATATCATTAATAATTGAAAATGCATGATGTGAATTTGGAGTGAGCGTCAATCCGTTGCCTTTGAAAGATTGTTAAGGAGCAACATTGAAAAACATTAGAGTACAGAGTGATTATTTCACAGCTCAACAGTTTACACATGTTGGACAACCGCACACACAAATTGAGAATGGCATCACGGGAAATGTCTGAGTGGAAAAGGGGATTTCTGCTGATTTGACGGCAGAATAAACAAGCTCCTCATAACCCTAATCGCATGTCCAGATACCAAGAGTATTCATTTGCTTTGATTGTTTTACTTCCACACCCTTCAGTCAAGCTCCAGAAACTGCAATGATTTGCACCAATTTGCTGCAGCCTTCCATTAATCACCCAGCTCTGGTCAAAAATATTGAATATTTTGTAATTATACAACTACATGTTAACCAAAACGTGTTATCTTTACTGTAAAATAAAATAGGTAAAACTACTATGTACTTAATAGGACAAACCTGCATCTACCACCAGGATCTTTTAGTTATTGCAAAAACAATAATGTAAAAGTGTTCAGAGTATTGCTTATTCAAGCACAGCCATGGTTTGTGCTCACGTCTATAACATAATCACTGTTACTAAAATAGTGTCAGACCGGACGACTCTCCACAAAAGAAACTTCTCTAAATTCTCCATTGTTATTAATATAAAATGATAGCAACGCAGCGCCGGGCTATATTTATCTAGTGTATATTTACACACAGAGAAGACAGTGAAAGAGCCCTGAGGTCATCTAAACCTGTGTTTAAGCCAACCATTGTTGTCAGGTAAACAACTGACAAACAAACCCTGCAGAGCGTCTTCCTCTCGTACACAGTGTGTGTTGTGTCTATTCCGTAGCGCTCCAGCATTTAGTCAGACCATCTCCAGCCATCGACGGGAGTGACCCGGCCTGCTTCCTGCTCTGTGCTCCTCTCTTCTTGGCCTCTTGTGTTGTACAGGAAAGGTGACAGAAGCTGCCTGGCAACATTTGTCCGTCCGCCCGGTTAGCATCAAGGATTTCTTCGCTTTGCTTCGCTCACAGAGAGATGAGCGGCTTGAAATGAGGAGGCGAGAGGGAAGCCACGTCGCTCATCAAACAGTTGGGCAGTCTAAACAGTCCTGATGTAGCCATCAAATCTTTCATCTGAACATCTAAATCGGCTCTGGATGATCCAGCTGCTGATGTCCCATCGCTCCGGTCCTGCAACATCAATGGGAGTGTGAGAACTGAGAACTACAGAGCACACTTTGCAAAGAGCAAAGTGTGCAGAGCAAACAATTACTTTGTTTTTCATCAAGAAGAACAACTGATTAAAATGGTACTGAGATGTTTATGAACACACAGCAATAGGATGCCGGACAAAGTTTGTGAATCTGGGTCCCACATAAATGTTCTCGCTTTATTACTCAAGTAATTTGTGACAGCATTTCAGATCTGTTGACAAACGGGAGGGAAAAATGCTAAATTTAGTGAAGAAATGATGGATTACTCACTCACACTCATTCTGTCCACCGTCAATCTGTCATCTGAAGCCTGCCGCTGTCATTGTTACTGCAAGTCACTGAAATCCAAAATACAATCAGCAACAACAATAGAAGGAAGACGGATGGCAGGCTGCTCTGGGAGTCCACTTGTCTGGAAAGTGTCTTTTCATGTTTGATTAGACTAATCAACTGTCTTTTATGTAGACAACAAAACAGCATGTGGAAGTTTCTGGTTTGGCCCAAACTTGCTCTTCTTAAATGCTGCAAGAATGAATTTAGACCCATGAACATGCGCAGGGAAGTTTAAAATTAGATTTGTTGTCCATTTAGAATGTGTAAGTTACCAAAGGATTACATAAATAACGTACGTCTGATACAATGGGGGTTTACGTTGACATTTTTAACTGAATGTGAAGTTGTTGACCACATCCCAGCTCAGTAACACAAAGAATATTTACAAGAACAGACCCCTGTTTATTTGAGTTACAGTTTATTTTGCATGCAATCCGATTACTGAATAAAGTCAGCCAGCTGCGAGCTGTTTGCCAGCAGCTGGTATTTTACTAGAGTTTCCGTTAAGGATGTTTTCTTCCAAACACATGCGGCCCCTCATTTAGCAGACATCATTAAAAAAAGGCCTGTTGTGTATGTAAAAGGTTCCGTGACACCAGTGTTCGGTATATTGGTACGAAGCCTCTCCACACGGTAGTGCAAGTTATTTGTTAGCCGGCCTTATCCAAGCATCTAGTGCGGATTGAGACCTTTTTATTTGTTAAGCACAACAAACAAACAGTAGAATACAACTCCCATCTCCCTCGGCGGTTCAGCATGTTGTGAAGAGTAGCACACGATGAACAGTAAACTAATTTGGCTACTGTATCATTAACACCATCTTACAGCCTTTTAAATAAATGTGTTTCTTGGTCTTTTTTTTCTCTTCCATTGAAGAGCAAAAGATAAAAGAGATGGAGTAACTGAACCTGCTGAAGCCACATATTGAGTTTGACTAGTTCATGTTTGCAAACGATGTGGAAATCAACTGAAATGTGCATGATCACAAGAGCAGAAGCTCCACTTTGATATTTAAGTATTTGCTCGCAGGCCCATTAACAACCAGTTTGATATAAACAGTAATTTGGCACCAGCCACATTCTGAGCTCCAAGACAACCCAATAGTATGACTATGTTTTAATTAGTCTCTGAACTATCCTGCCAGATGTCGATATAAATGCTGCACCAATACAGTCGCAGGGGTCCGTCCACCCGCGTGGGCCCGCCAGTCCGACGATGTGACCTGCAGCTCGCAGGACCTACGTGACAGTTGTGTCTGAGCCTCACTCAGGGATTCCTGCTGTTTATTTTAGCTTGTTCTTATTTGGGCCTCCGTGATCACATCCTCTCTGCGATGTGCGGTACCACTCATACTGCCGTGCCTCCCCACCCCCTGTCCAAAACACGCCCAGCCAGACATGTGCGTGGTTACATGCATCCAGGAAGACAGACGGGCGGCTTAAACAATAGAGAGACATCGCAACTGCAGCCAGGAGCAGCAGTGTAGCTGAAGCAGTGGCACACAGATAAGACTTTATGTCATCCTGCTACTGAAAATAGCCGAGAGGACCTGTTGATTCAAGGACTGATACATATCGCTGGTTAAGTACCAGGTAGCATGTTGTTGTAGTTCTGCCTCGTCCCAATGAGCACAGAATGACAGAGAATGACAGCAGCAAGACAAAATGTGGCTAAACACCACGTTTCTAGGTTCCCTCGTGTCTCTCACGTCTAATTTAAGATGAAGCCAAGCAGGTGAATGATATGGATGTCCTCATCGGGACATTTGTCTGGGACGTCCGACCACGTCCTACTCCCTCCCAGTCTTTCTGCCCGACCGTCTGTCTCTCTACGTGACCGGGCCCGGGTCCGTCAGAGCCAGTGGAGGCCGCCATGGCAGCAGATAACACTAACTAGTTTCCTGCCATTACCGCTAATTGCCCGACGGCCCGGAACTGCAGACACCCTGGGTGGGGCGTGACTGAAGAGCGTGCGTGTGGCTGCGTACGTGTGTGTGACCAACGTATGTTCTTCACTGCATGTCTGCGTATGCTGCCTGCCTGCTTACGTGGGAGAATGTCTCCCCGTATACGTCCCCTGTCCCCTGTGGATGCGTCCTGTCAGCGTATGTGGTGCGTTCGTAGCGGAGGGAAGAGGGGATGGAGGGATGTGTGGACAGCGCAGGGATGGACGGGAGGAACGGTGGAGCCAGCATGCGTATGTCAGTATGTATGGTAGAAAAACAGGATGAGTCTGTTGTTGTTGTGACATTTCTTTTGTTGTGAATTTGTTTGTTGTTTTAAGTCCAGTGTGAAACTTGCTTCACGCTGCCGTCATGGCCAGGAGACCCTCGAAAAGAGATTTTTAATCTTATTTGGAAAGATTACTGGGGAAAAAATAAAAATAAAGCTGTGGTAGTGAATCAAAATAGGGGAAAGCAGTTGTTCAGAAGAACTTGTTTGTTCAATCTTAAACACACAGACACATTGTGTGGATTGATGGCACACAAGAAATAAATACATTCTTATCAATAAATGTAAAACAACGTACATTTTTATTAAAAGGTTAACATTCTGGAGCGTTAATAGCAAAAAATTCAAGAATGAAAAAATAGAGAACATCCCTTCTGCTCTAAACTGTGTGTCGTAGATCTGGTAAAAAGTTGAATAATTATCTACAAACACAACATAATGCCACTTACTGTATACAACAAGAAAGCACACAAGGGAGATGCTGCATCTGTATGCTTAATGACTTTATTGTATCATTCAAAAAGTGAGGAGAGGATGTTTAGACGTGTGCGCATCGCTGGTAACATCTGCAGACGTCTACATGGGGCGATATGGACGTGTGCAGCGCTGGCTGAGGACGCTGTGTAAATAACAGGGACGTCGTACTCAGGCGATTTAGCAATGCGAATGTTCCGTTCAGGGCAGTGGTCTGCAAATCTGGTGCAACTTGGTGCTTGTAAAGCCGAGGGACAGATATGCCTCGTTATGTTTTTGGTAACTTTGCCTTTTTTGTGCCTCTTACAGCTGACTATGATCGGATTTGAGCTTTTCACCAAATCTGTCCATCTCAGCACATCGAAACCTTATATTCTCTTTGTGGTGGAAATTTGTGGATTAAGCCCTTGAGAGAGAAATCAAAAGTATATTGAACTCGCTTTGTGATTAAGTATTTATTGCTAACTAGAATAGAGGAAAAATCATAAAGAGTACAGAAATCATCAACACAAGCCGTAAATACAGACAGAAGTCAAATGATTCAATTCAGCGGAAAAGGGGCAGATTGTTCCCTCTCCTTCAGAGGAGCAGGAAGATCTGACAAAGATTTTTGGGGCGAACATGAGCTTTTATACACTTTGGAAGACCCAGAAGGAAACATGATGTGACCCTCCCTCAATGTGAACCAGGCAACCATGTTTTGACTGACAAATCGATAAAGGCACGAAATGGATTCCAGCTGCGAAAACACGATGCCACCGTGGACAAGGTCAGGTCACAGGTTTCCCAAGAAAGGTCACATATAGAGTTCCTGAAAAACAAAACACTCTTATCTTTCTCTCTTTCTCCTTCCTTGTCTCCCTCCCTCTGGCGCTACTCGTCTGTATTGGCCGCACCGCAACAGATTAAAACCGTTTACACTGCCCTGGACTCAGGCGGATAAATGGCATTTCTCCAGGCGGAGGAAGTCAACAGACTTATGAAGACTTGGCAGACTGGCTGTCACAGACTTTACAAAGATTACAGCATCTTCTAAGGAGTTATTGGCTTTCTTGTGAGAGTGTGTGTGTCTACAGCATGTTGACGAGAAGAGGGCATCAAAGCAGGCCGGCATCCTGTGGGCAGCCCAGGGCAGGACCAACCAGTGGGCCCACGGCGGCGGCGAGGTGGGTGTCCTGCGGCAGGCACCACACCGTCTGCCTCAAGAGATACACTTAGACGCACACACCCTGCCCAAGGCACAAAAGGCCACCATGTAATTGAGGTGGTGTCAGAACTCAGGGGAGGGAGAGATGGATAGATGGGAGGGACACACAAACACACACTCAGGGGAGATATTCTATTAACCAATTTAACAGCGAGATGTAATGTTACATTTACAGGGTTGTGTACAATTGAAAGGGAAAAATAAGTCACTTCATATGGTTTGTTAAATCTATCTGAGCTGAAATGTAAGTAAGTAAAGGGTATTTACATATCAATTGTCACGGATACAAGTCACTATGTGCTTAAGAAAAGAGAGGACATAATAAACACAAACCACAAAATGCACAAAAAAACAGGCCAAAACAGGTTTACAGCATCGATTACATCGAGACTATTGCTTATTATTAATAGGACTAACGTTCAGCCTTGCTTGGCTTATCAGACAAAAACTGTAAGTTGTAAATTGTAGTTCCAGATAGTCCTCACAGATTAAGTTGTACTTACAGATAGTGTAAAGAGAAATGTCTGAGGTTGAGTGCATTTATAATGGATGGCTGGAGTGAAATGGATGGATTTTACTTTTCTGTATTAGTCATAGTTTTCCAAAAAGAAAAAACATAGGGCTAAAGGTAAAAGTAGAAAAACCTGCACAAAGTATTTCAGTCAGCAGGAATTAAAAGTTCAGAAATGAATCTGGGTGGTCACAATGGGGATTGTAACGTTAATATATTCTGTATAGCTGCCAGACCGAGATCAATGACAAACATACTTGTCCTCTTGTAGTGTTGTTTTCCCGTCTGAAGTGCTTTGTCTAAACAACTGGAGATGTACTCATAAAGGATTCCAGTAGGACATTTTCAAATTTAAATGTGTCAATAAAAATGTTTTAATAGCAGCATCAGTCACTAAACTCTAAGGTCCCTGTGAATATACACAGACTCTATATAATGTTTTACTATTATGACCTGTGAGTGTTTGTATTTGTGTGTCCGTCAGGCCATGTAGTTTTCCTTATGTTTCCATGGGTGATTGTATTTGTATTCTGTGAGCACTTTGCCCCGAGGAGTGAACACAAACAGTGATGTGTGTCTGCCATCTATTGGTTGACTCGGGTGTGTTTAGACTCAGTGAGAGATCTGCAGCAACATCTGTCTGGCTTTACTGTCGTGGAAACAGAACATAATAATAATAATTACCTATCTCAATAATACTAAACAATGTCTCTCGTTGATACACGTTCAAACATGTATATTCAAGGTTTTATCTAACAGAGTTTCCGAGAGTTACCAGCTGGACAGGCAGGACAACCAAACAATTACGTTCCAAAGAATTCGCCCGATTCCAATGCACACGTGAGGCGCTCACAGAGGTGTTAACTCTGTGAGGGTTTAGGAATGTCCCGTTGTCAAATTGCTGACTGTTTGAGGGCTCTCAGGCAGACATTTTGAGCCCTTTAAGAACTCTTTTTTGTAAGCCAGCTTTGGATGCCGACTGAGAGTAAAAGAAGGTAAACAGTGAGGACGGCGCACGTGTGTTCAGACTGTCATAATAAAATGTGTACATGTAAAGCATTAAAGATTGAAGATGGAGGGGGGAAAAAAATGATGCAATTAGCTGATATTTATTCGTTAATTTATTCAAAATATGAAACGTCTCCAATGAAATTTTAACAAAAAAAATTGTAAAATTACAAAACACTATTTATAATTAACTCTCATTTTATGAGGAAAGAGCCTTAAAAAACCTTCACATCAGAGAGTAAAACGTATTAAATAAATGCCCTAAACTGTGCACTGACAACTTCAGAACTTTTATTGTTGGTATGTATTTCTTTTCAGGCCCTCGCCTCACAAGATGAAAGGTTAGTGTCAGAATAATCTATTATATCCGCTTATGTTGAAAAATGAAAATGAATGGTGTGTAAATGAGTCATCTCGTCTCCGCTCACATTCCTCTGCTGACTTGCTTTTATGAACCACCTTAAATTGGCCTACTGTGAGTCATACAGCCGAGGGCTACTGTGGGACAACACAGAAAGGGGCACGGCAAGTATTAATATAGAAAAAAACATACAATCAGGAAGTACACTATAACACAATTATACAATTTCATTGCATATTAAGCTTTAGGAAGGAAAAAAGATTTTAAAGAAAAAACAAACAATTAAAAACAAAAAAGAAAGAAGAGTCCCTAGTGGAGGAAGATTAGGAACTTTTCCTTTTCAGTTTTGCTTGCACAGGTTGGACAATTGTTGTTATTAATTTAATCAAATGCAACAATGGTTCCGTCTATTTAGTGCACTTCTCTAGTTGGAATCATGGTTAGTGTTTTCAAAATCAATAGAGGGCCCTTAGTCACATCGCTAATATTAAAATGACGTGTAACTGAGACTTTTGGTGCCGCTTGGCACACTTTACCTATTTGTCTTGACTTTATTACTTCTACAGCTCTTCTGCCCTCTTTCTTTACTTCAACTGATGATCAATCCAGGCTCCACGGCAGAGAGAAGTTCTCTCCCTCCAGCTCTTTGCGAATGACCGATGAGAATCTAGCCAGTTGCTCAGGGCTGAAATGGTTTTTCCAGTCTCCCACAATACCTAACACAAAAGCACACACACACACACACACCAGGACAGACGCATGAAAACAGCAAATCGCTGATGTGAAATAAAATCAACTAAAAATGCAATCAGACATTTTTTGTTGTTGTTGAAACTGAAAATCCACAAACATATCCGTTTAGAATCTCACTCTTCAATTCTAATAATCCAATTGGAACCTCACCTTTTCTGAGGAATGGAGACGTGTCGGAGTTCATGTACACCTTAGGTACCAGGCTGAAGTTGGACATGCTGTTCCTCTTCATGGTCGCGAAGGAGCAATGTTCTGCAATCTTCTGAATGGCTTCTTCACTTAGATTACGGCCCAGAAAGTCTGAAATACGCCTGAGCGCTGCGGGGAGGTCCTAAAAGAGCCGCACATCGGTGTAAAGCAACAGCAGTCTGCATTCATCCTATAATGCACATTTTCCAATAAAGACTTTTCTGCATGGTTTTCTACGCTGATGCCGCTGCGGCTGTGTTATGCACGTGCTCCATTCACTGCTCACTGTGTGGACATTTTGTTAAACTGCTTTCCACGAAGCCACTGAAACGATGCAATGTGTGTCTCATACCAGTGAACAGTGTGTTCTGATTATATATTGACTGTAGTCTGCTTTGGATTAAATACTTCTACTAAAATAATATTAAAAGCCATCAATAATAAAAAAAATATCCCAAACACACACAGATTAAGTTGCCAATTTAAGGATGGGAAATATCAAAAAGAAGGTCCCCTCTCATTAGTTGGAACTGTAGCAGAGACACTAGCGGTTCACCGCGCGGGGGATCCAACACACCATCCGCTTAACTGTACGGCCAACAAGACATTTAATGCCTCCATTTTTGTTGTTGCGAAAAGGTAACAGAAGCCCATGGGAGTGTTTTACCTGAACCATTTCTTCATATGTGATGTACATTATTCTGTCTCCCAGATCGGTGCTCCTCCAGCTCTTCACATGGTCTGTCCACTTTCCAAACAGCACTGCCCACAGGAGACCACAGTGTGTAAACACAAACAACCACTGCTGTTCTTTCACCATCTCAAATCTGACCGCGTGTTAATACTCTGCTGCAATTCACACATTTTCTTAATAAACAATCTCTTTGTCATTAGACCGCTGACCTTTGCCCTCCAAGAATTTCTCCATGAATTCATCGAAAGTCCCCGGTTTGTCGAGGAATTCGGCCATCTTATGGAAGTAGTATGAAGACACCACGATGTCCTTAGGGTTCCTCATGACGTAGATCACCTACGGCAGAGACACGAGGCGCTGCGGTGTCATGTTATGGAAATGTGGCCATGACAAACAGGTGAAAGACGGTTACACCACAGTAGCAGCGTGGATTAAAGGGATCACATAGGAACATCCCACAAAACCTCCACCCGGTTACCTTGGCTTTGGAGGTGTGGAAGGAAGGAGGCATGAGGTAATAAGGGAAATGTGTGACCAGCCCCCGTGGAGACTCCATCTTATCCACAACCAGTGCTAATCGTTTTTCCTCCAGCCACGGGACCCTGTCCCAGTTTGGAATGGTTTGGACCGGCGTCGGATCCCCCCCATTCAGAACCAGTGGGAGGATCTCCTGCATCCAGATAGTACCTTTAAAAAAGAGAGACACAAGGAGACAAAACGTGACAAGACTGCTGCAAGTACTTGAGTCTAACGTAAGTAAAATACAACTGTGGTCAAAGATCAGGAGACTTGAGCCCTTTTTTTTAGCCCACATTAGATTTCAGTTTGTCCAACCGGTTAGTATGAAGAATTAACAATTACCGGTTTCTGTTTGCATTGTATGCCTGGATGTACAGACATCCATCCTTGTATTACTTTAATATTAGGGTCCTTACTCTTGTGATTTTTTAAGCAGATTTATAGATATTTATTTGGATGGACATTGCAGATATTGACATCCTTGCAAAGCTTTGTATGAGCCTAACTCAATCAATGAATGAGCAAAAGAGCACATTCCTGCTTTAAGCACACTAGAGTATGTTTTTGTCTTACCCTGGTGAGGTCGTACCTCTTGGAATCTATGCTATGAGTACTCAACTTGTTCAGCTCTCGTCTTTCTGTGAGAACCAATCGTAAAATGTGGAGGGCTGTTCTCTCGACCGCAGTTCACATTCTTCAGAACAAAATTGAAAAGGTTGTAACCGTGGCTGCAGTGCTTGCCTCAGAGTGTCGTCACGGGGCCCCGCAGGTCCTGCACAGCGACCAAGGCCGCAATTTTGAGCCTGAAGTGTTCCAGAAAACGTGCTCATTATTCGGCATTGCAAAAGACACGCACCACACCATTCCAACCACAGTCTGAGGGCCAAGTGGAACGACTCAATTCCACCCTGAGACAGATCCTATACCCACAACGGCTGAACGTTGCCACTGGGACTGGGAGCTTATGATTCCTTACGCAGTCATGGCCTACGGAGCAACCAGGCAACGTGCTACTCATCTCACCCCTAATTATATGACGTTCGGCCAGGAAAGAAAGTGAGCCGGTGGACCTGGCAGGCCAGAAACGGATTCTTCTTCCACCGAGGACGCTCAGGACGGTGGGGGTGGAACGACAGAAAGACCTCCCCAGGGTCGTCACAGGCCGGGTCGCAGACCCTGACCTCCAGACAGGTTTGGTGAATAGGTGGCTCACTGAGTCCATTAGGTTCATGGACAGTTCCAGAGTTAAGGCACTTTGATGTACCATGTATACAAGGCACAAAGGCTGTCAGGTTACTGTTATTTTTTCTGTTGTTTTCCTGGGATATTTTGTTTTGAGTTGCTCTTGCATGCTCTGGTCGCATAGGTGGTGTTATGACCAGTAAATGACTTGCTGATACATGAACCAAGGATTGTCCCACGCCCTACGTGTGACCTGCACAAAGGACCGCTAATATAACTATGTATAACTATGCCAACGACTGCTGCACCCTCTAATGGACTGCGGAAGACGGGGTTGCCCTGAATGAATTGGCAAATGAGGGCTATGTACCTGTGAAGAGCGAGGTCGAATTACATGTTGTTGTACGGGGCGGGTATGGCGAGCGAGAGGGACAGAGAGAGATCGGTGTAGAAGGAGCGGTTTTTTTTATGAATGTGTGGACGCAGCGACCGGAGAAAACCACGTATTGTATCTGTTTTACCCAGCGTGTATAAATAAATCTTCAAGAAGAAATACAGTGCAGCAGAAAGGAAGGGGGATTAGAAGAAGGGGCCCTGGAGCATAAAGAAGTCTTCCCTGCACAGCCAGGAAAGGTTAACACAAGTCTCAAAGAGAAAAGACCCTTGTTGATGATTAACATGTGATGAGAAACAAAGGGAGGTGTTTCCTCTCACCACACCACCGAGAACTCATCTGTGCTGAGAGGGAGTGTGTTTTTAAATGATACTGAATGAACTAGACGACCTAGAAGAATGTAGCTTTCTATATAGGTGCTCTTATTCGCCTCATCCGAGTCACGTGGACGGATCTGATTGAATGACGCAGCCTCTCGGTGCTGCTTTCGTTCACATGGGCTCCCAAAATCAATGCAATGAAACTTTCTAACGGAAGGTTTAAGTATTATATTCACAAAGAATTTACGTATGGGGGGGGGGGGTGAGCTTGGACAAAAACACTTTTTTTGCGCCCTTGGAAATGCGAAATGGGCATTTTTCATTCGTCTGAATCACGCAAAACCGTTTTAAAAAGAGACGAGAGCGATCATTGTGCGGTAACTCACCCCGCTAAAAACTAAAAACTAAGAACTTAGAAATAAGCTAAATCCCGGCGATCGAACCGCGTCGAGCAAAATAACAACACGTTCGGCCACTCGAGCCGCTGATACGCTTTATACAATAAACCCGGAGTACAAATCCTCCGAAAAACACCCACCTGACTTGGGGTAAACTACACCTATGACGTCCTGGTCCTCAAACGCGAAATCCTGCGCAAACTTCAAGCTCTCCGCTGAGTGCGTCTCTTTGGGGAGCATAAGTCCGCAGTACAGCGTGTACTTCTCCTCGGAGGACATCGCGCCGCGGAGGTGAGCGGAGAGAGACGCAGCTGATGCTGCGTTCACGTACGCGGACGAGGAGGAGGAGGGGGGGGGGGGCGAAGAGGAGGGGGGGGGGGGGGGGGGGACCTACTTGTCTTTTCCTCATTAGAAAAGAAAAGGTAACGATGATCAAATACCTGTTGTGTGTCTACATGTTGTTCATGTCTTTTCAGGGAATAGTGGAAAAAGCGGAGAGAAACTGGTAAAAGTGATGAAAGAAAGTACTGTACCTGACTTGGGGTAGGTCACAGCAAACACGTCGGAGTCCTCCACAGAGAACTTTTCGGCATACTCCAAGCTCTCCCTGCTGTGAGCCAGAAGAGGTAGGAGAATGCCGCGGTACTGGATGTACGCCTCGGAGGACATGATGCTTGTGCCCGGCTCGAGGTTTTCAAGAGAATCGCTGGCTCGTTGGATTCGCTTTGCTCCGTCTTCTCGCTCTGCGGTTACTCATGTAGGCCCGTCTTCTCTGAGCTGATCTTTGTCTCCTATTCAGAGCTGACTCACTTTTTTTTCTCCCACCTTGCAATTTGAATGGCATGCAGTGCTGCGAATCAGTCACTGTTCAGTAGTTCATATGCTGAGGCCCATGTTAAAGGATTGTTGTGTGCTTCCACAAGCCTACACAAGCCTATTTTGGGCCTATTGAAGTGAAACACAACACATCGCTGCAATGCCGACGGCGACGGAAAAACGCGTGTGTGTAACCGTTATTTAAACTCCTCACAAATGGATTGACTTTTATGGGTTCTTCCTGCTCCATCAACAACGTGCTGTGTTAACTCATTGAGAGCTTTAGGCTGCCTTAAAACATCTGGCTGGGGACAGCAGGTAGAAACTGGCCCACTTGCAGTCCAGCTGTTGATTGGTGTGCTTTGGAATATGCTGAAACTCTTAAGTCTTGTGAATTGTGCGTTGACCTGCATGGGCCGAGGTCGGTAGAGTCACGCTCCTTTAATTGTCCCTGCAATGCACACGGTCAGGCGAATGTCACTGCAGCCGCCATCTCGCTCCCAACACACGAGCAGCATCAGCAGCGAAGAGAGGAGGCAGTGTTCGCGTGCATGCGTATTACGTAACAACAGAGCATTGTGTCATTTCAATGACGGCTTTGTCAGACTGCAGTGGATCCCAGGTGAGAGAGCGGGGAGAGGCCGAGGGAGGGAGGGAGGGCAGCGAGAGCTTGAATGGCAGGAAAAGTGAGCATACGTAACAAGAGGTATGTTGTGCGATGAGAAGGTAGAAGAATATTTTATATTTGGAGCAAAGTCTGTGTCTTTTCACTACACACAACTGGTGTATATTACTTTAGAAATAAAGGTTATTTCCAGCATTTCATGGTGAATCTGTTTGGTGATAACAATTCGTTGTAACAAGTTAGAACACACTTGTCACTGGATTGCTTATCGTTGGACATCTTTACACGCCGTGTTTTTCAACATTCCTTTTGTAGTTCAGCCGCTCCATCGCGTGTAGAAGTGCTGGAGCAGAGCGAAAACATTTAGGCCACACGATTTGTGGATGAGATAAGACACACGATTTGTGGATGAGATAAGACAAACCCGATGGACGACGACAACACACGGTTGTTGACCAACATAAATGAAACCCGGAGGACGGAGGAGGGTTTCTAGTCGTTGCAGTCCGCTGGTGCCAATGTGCCCGCATATGCAAGCACATGTCGGGCAGAACAGAGTGGACAACAGAGTGGATTTTCTTGGGGGGGGGTGAGCCCCTTGTTCAACTGTAGGGGAAACACCGAGTATCACAATGGGAGATCAAATATTTCATCTACAGCTCTATCTGACTGACTGACTGAAGGACTGACTGACGGTTTAACAGGTTTAAAATGATTTTCTCAGATAAAAGAGCAAGATGGAACAAAAAGTGTAGTTATAATTTTAATGTCAAAATCACAGATGCTTACAATTCAACATGTGGTCAGAATGCTGACAGGACTTATTCACACAGTGGCCATGTTTTTTAGTTAAATCTTTAATACAAATGATGAAAAAAATGTGAAAAAGAAATCTTACTACCGTTAAGGTTTAACTTCACTAGAATATAAATAAATGGATAATTGGGTGGGCACACAATGAACTATTCAGGAAGTATCAGGTCATTCACATTACTATCCAATTAACACAACAAAAAACAATATTTATGAAATTCAATTTTTAACAAAACCTTTCTAAGTTCTAAGCCAATCACATTACAGATGTTTCCCGGTGTCACCACTCAAACTGCAGCTTTCCCTGGAGGACTGACAGCAAACAAAGCTTCAGCGCATGTCTGCCATCGATGACCTGTTTAGGCGGATAAAACTGGAAGAACTTGTTAGCTTGCCAGCTGGTAGTTTAGCCTTGTTATAACATCAGATCAGTCCAGATTACCAAACGTTAAAAGCACTTTAAGTAGTCTTTGGCGTTGTTACTCAGACTGAAAAGGTATCAGGAGTCAGCTGCAGATTTATGACAACCCGTCAAGTCTGGACCACAGTTGCAGGTTGAACTGAGACTAATAAGTTGTGCTTAGTTGCTGTGGACCAGAGTGACGAAGAGAAACAGCGAGCAGAGAGAGATGCCACCAGTCAGCACGGCTTTCACCAACAACACTGTCCAACTGCCCAACAGGAAGACATGGACGAACAACCTGAGGGCACCACAGAGATAAACACAAGGTTAGGAACAAAATTGAACGGTGCATTGGCATTACTGAGTCCCATCTCTTCCACTTGTTGATGCATTTGTCTACAGTTTAATAAAAGTAAGCATAGAGGTGAACAGGCATGCATATATTGGTATCGTAATTATTCCTATTGCTCATGCTATTGCTGTTAACTAGCGCCATCCTGTGGCACACAAAATAAGGTGCAGCCACCACATAGGCGTTTCAGTCAAACCTAAACAAAATGTTTATTGTAGAAAATTCCCTTTTGGAAATATGCTTATCCACTTTCTTGTCCAACGTTAGATGAGAAGATGAATACTGATCTCATGTGGCATCTTACTCTCACACCACTCCTCTCTCTGTGTACTGTGTGTGTTATGTCCGATGGTGTTGGTTTTGAGCAAAGGCATGTGTTAAAGACTTACTCCATTAAGAAGGACTTGTAGACGCAGAGAGCCAGCAGCACAGTAACAGGAAGCCTGAAGGTCTTAGGAAGGTCGTATCGTGTGAACATCCACACAACTGCTGCCATGCCGATGTAATGGATCTATACGCACACAGAATAACTAACACTTAAAGAAGTGTCCCATCATGTACACATTTGTCAAATGCATTATATACAAATGCATTATAATATTTAGCAACAGAAAGACAAAGAAATTCTTGTTTTTGGACAAGCAAGGATGCAAATCAATTATCATTAATATCATTTTTATAGATTCTACAGACCATTGCTATCAACATTGTGGGCGCTGAAAAAAATGAGCAAAAATGGGACAGCTCCTCTGAAAACATGGTGGAAGGAGGCGAGATGAAACACAAGAGGCTGATATAAGCCAGCAGAGAATGGTGTATGTAATGGTGTAGGACAGACGAATTGACTACACACACACAGCATAGAATAGTGAACAGAGCAGAAGAGCACAGCTACTCACCAAACTAATGTTAGAGTCAAAACTCATCTGGATGTACTTCCAGTCAAACTCAATCCCTCTGGCTCCGACCCACAGAGGAAGACATCTGGAGGGCCACAACAGGACATCATTCGCACAACAGTTTGAAGCTAATATTTTTTTCTTCTGCACCAGCAGCAGCATTACTGCTCACCTGGACATCACAAGTTCAGCCGTTGCCCAACCCATGGCAGCCACCATGATCTTGTACTCCCCTTTACCAGCATTACGAGACATCACAAGATGGAGACCCAACAGGTCGGCTAGGTCCACTGTGGCCTTCATGAATTCCTGAAAAACAGAACAACACATTACAACCTCCTACTGGCTTACTTTACATACGTTTCAATAATATATCACAAAATAGGACTAAGTGTGAGAAATGTCTCTGGTGTTCTGACACTCACCCCAACAAAATCATAAACTCCAGCTCCCCCTTCCCACGTGGGGAAAAATGTAGCGAGAAACAGCATCTGAAACACAAACGCACAAAAAAAAAAAAAGATGAAAACTTTAGTAAAGCATAGTTTGTGCTTTGCGGCGCTTCCTCGGCTCCTCGATGAAGGATCATTTAATAATGAGAAAAGCGCACTCACCTTACACAGCTGGACAAACAGGTAGGTCGCTCCAGCCTGGACACATCTCCAGAAGGCATTGTACTCTGAACTAAGGTTTGGACAAACAAACACAACGTCATACGGCGGGAAATGGAAAATAACGAGGTACAGAGACCAAGCGGTCTGAGCGGAAATTGGCCATTTGGGATACAAGACTTTAGTGGAACAATGTTCATCGAATCAAGTTATATTGTTATGCAAGAGTACGGCCAAATCCAAGAGTACACCGTAGTGTTAGAGATTATCTGAGTCCTCCCAAACCTCTGGCATCACTAAGCAGATTATTAACAGACTGCTTAGTCTCTTGAGCATGTGTTGCTGCAACAAAGGAGTACAAACTACGTAACAATGCTTTTATATCACACGGTTTGTACAACAGTCATCACATATTGCAGATCTCTCTTCCAAACACTCACAGGCCACTGCACTTGTATGCTATAAAGTAAGGGAAATAGGCCAGGGCGAAGCAGTTCCCAAAGTGAAACAGTGTCATGATGTCTGGTCCCAAAACTCAGCTCGCTGGAGAGAAAGAGAGAAGATGTTACTTCACAGAATGGCGTTACAGGACACTTCTTTCTTACACACCCATTGAGTGAAATAACCACTTGAGAGGCAGAGGAGACCAAATAATATCTGGTTTAACACCGAAATCAACATACCAAATGTAAGCTCACTGTCACCGAAGACAGACAAAGCATCAGATCATTGCAAGCGAGAAGCTAGAAGCAAATAATATAACCGACTTAAATGAAAAAAACCCAAACTGCTGACTTGTTGACTGGCTAATCGATTATTTGATTTGTGGACACATTATTTACTTTTTTCTTCTTGGTGTCACGTGTTTATTTCTACCGAACTGCCGTTACAGCTGCAGACAAACGTGACGTCATCAGAAGGTTATGAAGGGTGATGGTAACGTTACATCGACGGACACGCACACACCGTGTCGTGCTGGAGCTCCGTCGATAAAAACAAGCTCACGGGTTAAAGCAATAGCAAGTCTGTCATCATCTATTAAAGGTGTTTAGCAGGTGTATTTATTACCTCAGTTGCAGAGTTATTTGACGATACAAAGCTAAAGTATTTGAGGAAATGAATGTTCTCGGCAGAAGCTTACGTTAGCTGAGCTAACGTTTACAATCTTGTCGCCGGACACGTTTCTATATCGACGAGAACAAGCCTCGAGGACACTTTATCTCCGTCGTATTCGACCACAACTCCTCCATTAATCCACCATTCATTCAACACGACAGCACATTTAAAGCAGAGCTTTTCCGTGTCAGCGCTTACTGTGTTTGAAGGGCTGGAGAGACGCTGCGGGCTGTCGAGTGACAAACGGAAGTTGGATGAGCTCAACCTCAAAATGTGTCCGACTGCACCAGTGGTCGTTTACTAACGGGTTCCACAAGGTGCGTCATACAACCACAAACACACCGATGCGAGGTACAGACGGCCCGATCCGGGTCTCCACCCTTTAGGTTACATACATGTGTATTTATAGCGTAGCATTTATGCACTGTATGAATGTATTCAGTGGATAAGCGCCATCGATACAAATACACCGTCCACACACACATTTACTCTAAATGCTGTTTTGCATGTTCCACAACGCTCAAATCATAACGTTTTAAGAGTCTGAAAAGGCGATGAAGGTTCCGCAGCACCTACTGTAAAAGAGCCCGAGGTAAGTGAGGAATCCAGACGTCTGGTGTTAATGATTTATTGGACTTAACAGGTGAAGAAGCTTCTAATTGAGAGTTGGTACCTTGAGATACACTTATTCCTGCTGTTGAGACCTTTATCTTGTTTGAGTCAGAACCGTAAAATGGTAAAAGAACCCCTTTGTGAAGTTGGTAACTGTAGTAGAAAAATGAATGTTCCACTTTGACATATAGAAACACAAAGACTGAATGAAGGAATATTTAGATGTACACAAAGATGCCCTAAAATCTAGATATTCACAGATACACTAACATATATGCAGACAAAGATGCACTATAGATGTACTCAGTGAGCAACTAATCTATTTTCAGAAAATAAAATCACAAGACAGAATCGATCACCCTGTAGAGAGAAAACAAACGCTGATGACGGAGCACTGAAGAGCTCTACACCCTGAAACGACCCACTGAATCAAACAAATCTCTGCAGCAGATGAGGTTTCTTCCCCAGGGATCCAGTTGTGCCTGTTGTATTTGGACAGAGCGTCACTGTGTCCCCACTGGGACGGACGGTCTGCCAGCATGCCGCCTACACTTTCCGTCGAGTCTCCCTCGATTTAAAGTGGTTTTGTCAGGGAGGTTTGATTAGAACTTAGAAACCATAAGGCTGCACACTAAACATCGAATATTCTTCTAAAACTGGTCATTTGAGACCAACCTCAGTAGCTGAAAAATGAAAGTTGACCTTGACTACTAAAGTATATTAATCAATTCAAAATGCAGCCTATAATATCCCCAAAAATTGAAGCAGGGTTTAATGTGCAAGGTTTCAATTGATTCATTTAAGTTGGTTATCATTTAGAATATAAATTTAATTTAGATAATAAAAAAATAAAGCAAATGAAAATTAATGGCATGGAATGTATTAAATGAAAACTTGACTTCCATTTAATAATGTTAGTCTGTCATGGCTTCCACAAGGGGCGGCAGTGTAAACTGACCAAATAATGGGAACGGACATTTAAGCAGATTGAGAAAATGCTTAAGTTATTGGGTTCATGTTGAGGATTGGTTTACTATTAAAAAAAAATGTATTATTCAGTTACATTTTTCATTTGTCTTACAACCTTTTTTGAGACAAAGGACATAAAACCAGGACGACAGTTTGAGGTTCTCAAATTTATTTCTTAGGTTTTATTACTTTCACGCAGAGTTACAGTAGTTCTGCCGCTCAACTCTATCCACTGGTGATTAAGCCTTTAACTAAAACAACAGGGGGATGAATACAGTAGTTACCATAGCACTGAGCATAAGGACACATCTAAAGTGGCAAGGGGGCACACAGACACAAATACTGTCACCAACGGTTTGTCATTAAAGGAAAAGACAGATCAACTCAGAACACTCAACACATATGCTGCCTACGTTTACTGTAGTAGAGCGAAGGTCTGTGATGCTATGACTTTGCTATGGGTGGCGCCTCCGTGTAAAAGAGCAGGGAGTGTGGGGTTGGGGGGTTGGGGGGGGGGGGGGGAAGAGTTGGGGTGGTCCCTTTCTGGCTTCCTTTTTAAACAGGAAGCGCCTACTCCTTGGAGTGCATGTACAGCAGCAGGTCAGCCACACGGTGGCTGTAGCCAAACTCATTATCATACCTGGAGGGAGGGAAGCAGAAAGAGGAATTCATGATTTGGTTTTGAAGAGATCAAAGTGCCTCAGCGCAACGCTTCTCCTTTCCCATGTGTGGAACTACCAAAGACATTTGTAAACTAACCAGGAAATGAGCTTGACGAAGTTGTCGTTGAGAGAGATGCCGGCACAAGCATCAAAGATGGAGGAGTGGGTGTCACCGATGAAGTCAGAGGACACCACCTGCAAAAACAAACCCGGCGCCAAGTCAGATACACTGGTGTAGCCAGGTACAACTGAGGCAATGGATCCCCCACGCAACCATAACAGGACTCTTTATGTAAATCATTGGTGAAAAAAAAAAAAAAAAAATCACTCAACAGTAATAAATGTTAATCCGAATCCACGTATATGAAATGAATGAACATCTTTTCACCAATAACTTAAGTGTAGTCTAGCAGTCATTACTAGCCTTACAAATAAATTAAGATTGTGAGTTACCTGGTCCTCTGTGTAACCCAGCACTCCCTTCATGGGCCCATGTGCAGCCTTCTTGACTGCTTCCTTAATTTCAGCGTAAGACGCAGGCTTGGTCAGACGGCAGGTCAGGTCCACCACCGACACATCGGGCACTGGCACTCTGAACGCCATGCCGGTCAGCTTACTGGAGATAGCGGACCAAAAAAAAAAAAAAAAGAAGGGATGTTAGACGTTGTCCCAGTTTGTTTTTATATACTCCTGGCCATGATTGACAAAGATCCACGTTATCATCAGATGATGACTAATGTGGTAGCCCGTACCCGTTGAGCTCAGGAATGACTTTGCCCACTGCCTTGGCGGCACCAGTGGACGCTGGAATGATGTTCTGCGCGGCAGTGCGGCCATCACGCCAGGCCTTGGCGCTGGGACCGTCCACGGTCTTCTGGGTGGCAGTGTAGGCGTGGACAGTAGTCTGCAGAGGGGAGCGTCGCAGTACACAAAACATGAGAAACTTACCAATACAGTGTCATTATTAACAAAGCCCACGTCACAGCACGGGCCGGACTAAAGTGTACTGGGACGTACCATGAGCGCCTCATCAATGCCAAAGTTATCATGGATGACTTTTAGCCAGGGGGGCCAGGCAGTTGGGTGGTAGCAGAAAGCATGCTATCAACAGAAACACAGAAATAGTCAACCACCATTACAGTGACTGGCAAATCTAGGAAAATGCATGTCCAAAACCAGAAAGTGTATTTTACCTGACAATGGTCATGGTGGAGGGGTCGTATTTGTCCTCGTTAACTCCCATGACAAACATTGGAGCATCGGGTGAGGGGGCAGAGACCACCACACGCTTTGCTCCGCCCTGGATGTGAGACTGCGATGGGACAGGAGGCAAGGGGGGCGCGGGTTAGAGACCGGGCCGACTGGCAGCCTGTGTATTAGTCTATGTGAACGAGTGCAAGTACATACGGAGGCCTTCTCCACGCTGAGGAAGACGCCGGTGGACTCCACAACGTACTTGGCTCCAGCGCTGCCCCAGGGGATCTCCGCTGGCTTCATACTAGAAACAAAAGAACAGTCTAAGATGCATGTTCATCATTTCTATTTAGTCTTAAACACATTGACAGTATGCAGATACCAAAATACTAAACAGCTACATCATAGCAAAATATAACATTTCAATTAACACGGAGGTAAAGAAAAAAGTCTCCCAAAATGTAGATTGTGGGGTTTAAAAAAAACAAAACCTCCCATATTTACGCTTAGTGTACAACAGGAATGTTTCTTCTATAAACAGCCCTTTCTGTTGGTGTTGCCTTTTGCAGAGCGGCACCATTGCTGAAAGGACTTGAAACAACTGCCGGTAAAACCGATGTGATGGGGACTCCGTTTAGGCTTTAGTCAGCAGAAACGTTCCCTCTACATCACCGTATAATAAAGACTGGGAGGGGAAACTGGCAAAATATAACTGGCCAACCTTTATGCAATTAAATGATTTAACCGGAGTGCTTAGATGGCCACATCTAGTGGTCAAACGTCTCAGTTGTGCCAAAGCTGCCCTCATCAAAATAATTCCCTCATGGGAAATCAGATGGATCTCAGCTGCCTCACTTACCACTGGAACACGGAGATTTCGTGTTCGTCGACGATGAGCTTGCCCCCGTCATGGGAGACCTCTCCAGGGTAACGGCCGTGGGTGGAGTCATACTTGAACATGTAGACCTAAGCGGCGAGCGGAAAATAGTGTTAGTGTTATAAGAGCCGGGTGGGAGGAGGCAGAGCAAAACCGAAATCGAAGACTAAAGTCTCAAACTTTATACATCTGACATAAGTGAAGGCGATCGACATCCCTATGACGAGTTCAGTTTAGGTATAGATGCAATGCTCAACCAATGGATCCAGTAATATTACACACTGCAGGCTTGGATCTTACAGGAATTGTGAGGTTTTATATCACATGCAGATTTGTAAGAAAGTGTGCATCTTACCATGTATTTCAAGTCAATGAAGGGATCATTCACTGCAACAACCTTGATGCCTTTCTGGAGGCAAGCCCTCAGGACCAGACGGCCAATGCGACCGAAACTGCAGATGGAGAGAGCGACAATTATTAATAGCGGTTGGGTAAAACCTCACATGCATCCTCTAACAAAGCCTCAAACCATGTGGTCATTGCAAAATAACTTCAGAGGCCTTTCCTCTTCTAAAGTAGTGACCCCCCCAACCACTGGGCCGCAGACCGGTACCAGGCCGAGTGAGATCGATCTTACTCACCCGTTGATTCCAACACAGAGGTCTGACATGGCTGCTGCTTTATGGGGATTGAGTTACCTGGGAGGAAAAAAAATAAATAAATAAATGAAATTAGACAAGTAAATCTACGGGTTAAGAATGAATATGCATCCATAGCATAACTGCTACACTAGTAGCATAAGGTTGCAATGCAATTGTACAGATTAGTACCAGGGGCTGTAGTATTTGGTGTGCGTCCCCGGTCACATGACAAGCTGAGTGAGTTCGAACAGGCTGCAGCAGAGAAAGTGTGCGCCTGTATTTGTAGTCAACGATGGAAAAATACAGGCTTCGAAACAAACTCCTTTACGTGCAGAGACACGCTGCACCATGCAGGGACATGTTTAGAAAACAATTGAGGAGGGTGGGAGGCGCCGGTGTATGCAACAAACATGTATGCAAAGTGAACAGAAAGGTTGTCGGTCACTCAACTACGTGACCTCCTTTTCATCTGCCGGAGTCAGCGCTCAACACACACGCTGTCCGCCCACGGTGTGTGGATTAGGTCACCAATAGGTTTAGGGTTCAAACTCTGCCAACCCAAATAATTTAGCATTATATTCATAGTATTAACAAATGTATGAAGCCAAGAGTTGATTTAGGGAGTGAGTAGGTGAGGGCAGCGCAGATCGTCCTTGAGACTGGTTGGCTGTCATTTTAGACCACTGTAATCTCCTAATCTGTGTGTGTGTGCGCGCCAGTGGGGAGCATGTAAATCAGGATGTCCATCTGCTGAAATGCATTGTGGGAGAACTTTAAATAGACTACAGAGGCAACCAGATTAATCGCCCACTCAAACACCATTGGAACATTTACAATAGCAGTAAAATACATTTGACTAAGTTCAACCGGTTCACCTGTTGAGCCAAAAGAGAAGTCACCCTTTGTGTTGCCAGTCAAAGTTAATTTGTTGAACAGCCTCAAGTGTCTTTAGGACAAGGTGACTTGCAGAGTAACTCGTTAGAGCACCATTTCTTGTGGGCCTTTTGTAGCACCCTCCGTTCAGGGGGGTGCAGCCATTTTGTGCTGTCACACACGCACCTCCTTTATACTTGTTCCCACCATAGCCTATTGTGCATTCAGAGCCTTTGCTGCTACCTCCTTCCCTCCACCAGGTTTCTCCTTGCGAACCACTTCATGTTCTCTGCACGCAGCAGTTGCCCCGGGGTTTGCAACATAAAATGGCTGTTGAACTGGCAGATACGAACCTGTATGGACTATTCTGCTTCCCTGGAGCAGAAGGGGGAATGGAGCCAAAATACGGTCTCAAAAGCAGGCCATCGGAGATCATAATGAACACTAGTTAATCAGCTCCTCGTCTGGTTGTTAAACTGGAGGAACCAGCCGACCACAGGGAGAAGCTTTGAAGGTCTTCAACCCTCTCGAGTAAGGAAGTGACTCACTTTGCCACCTGGCGGTCAACAGAGAATCCATCCGTATGCTTCTATCCGTGGGGCTTATTTTTTTGCAGACTTCCCGTGCCCTTTAACTATTGCCATGGTTACAGACTCGCTTTTTGTTTTTAACCACAACCCCCCCCATCCCACCAGAGCCAATCATTGAAATTCAACACCCTACCTCCTCCCCAGCCCCCCATTACGCTTTGTCTGAACCCCCACATTTAGCACACCCTGCCCTCCATCTGGGCTGTGACGCATTTTCAAACGTTTGACTGCACACGCGGGGGGGGGGGGGGGGGGGGGAGGTTAGGGGGTCGACCTGCCGACACACCATGGAGGAGCACAAAAAAGGAAAGTGGACTCCTTGATAAGCAACCTTAAGAGGACAAAGGCAGCATCCGGTGGCCACATCGTATAAAGTGACAAATGTCACTTGTGCAAATAATTCTGACGTCAAGCACCAACAGTTTGCCAAGTAAAACGATTATTTTCTCTGTTGTAGGTCAAAAGTCTTGTGGAATCTGGTCTTCCTCTTACATGGACCGGAGTTTTACTATTGGAAATCTTCCAAAAACATTCATAAAATTCTAAATGGCAATAATGGGATTGAAGTACTACTTACTTTTAAAGTTGTTAGAGTAACAGTCAAACGATAACCGAGCTAAACTTGGCTAAAGGCTATTCAGTCTTTGGGTTTTGTGTTGTATAAACTAGAAATCCTACGGCGAGTGAATGAACGCAGGCGCTTTTCCTCCCACCAAGTCACTCCCCCTGCCTGCTTTCTGTCTCCCTCAGTCGAACGCTTCCTCCCCCATCCTACACGCTGTCACACCCACAGTATTTTTCCACTGCAGTGGGTTTACTGGCTAGAGGGACTATTTGATTAGTAAATGTTCTCATTTTGACCGATGGGTGAAGGAAATACCACAAAAGCCTGAACAATGAGTTTTACACCTTTGAGTGAACACAGCAGCTTCGTGCACCACAAACCTTTCCTGTGCTCATCACCTCCTTGCTGTAGTTTTAAATTGTGTTGTTACTGAAAGAATGTCACTTTGTAAACTCCGTTACACGTCCACCACAGGCCCGACTCAGTCTCATTCAGCTCCAGCAGACTAACAGACCAAGATACTGAATGGAACCGTTATATGGAGCCGTGGGTGGATGTGTGGTACAGGTCAAGACTTGGCCATGAGCACAGACGCCATCATGAATTAGTAAAAGGTGTGTTGTATCAAACTGCAGAGGCAGCCAAAGGAGAGAGACATGCGACCACCTAAGCAGGGACACACACACACTGCCTGTGTCCCCCTCCCCCCCGCCAAGCAGCTTGTGTCAGCAGGCAGATGAAAAATATCCTTCCTAGAGCTTAGCCCCCCCCCCCCCCATCCTCTGCCTCCACTCGCCCATTGCCAATTGCATCCAAGTCCATTGCCACTGAATGATTAGATTAAAAAAAAAAACAATGCTTTAAAATTGCAACAGCTAGGTGCAGAGACACTCTGGAGTTCCTAGTCTCCTGCACGTTGCTGGTGTGCTGTGGCTATTCACTTGTGAGAGTCGTTGCTCGGTCAGTAACCCAGTCACTGTTCTGCAAACACCCTGATCTGTGTCAACTACAAGAACAGAATGGAAGCTAAAGTATTAGCAAGCTAATAATGCCTTTCATATGAAACACTAGCCTTTCGTGGTGCATCATGTAGCACATTGATGAACCCAATAGCCCAATTTCATTATGAAATCTTAATGCTATCAAAGGTCATTCTAACCAATTTCCTAGACTGGATCTTTGACAATAGCAGGCGATTTCTTAAAAAACAAAAACAGTATACATGCATTTCAAGTGTATAAATTAGGTTACTTAAAAGATAGAAGTCATCTGCTGATCTATGACATTCATCTTAAAAACAACAAAATAGAAGGTATGTTTAGTGTTTTGCTGAAACACTTGGCATGAGACAGACAGGCCTGTTGGCGACCTTCAGCCATCCACAGCCTGCGTGAAGAAGAGACTATCTGTATGGACCTGCAGCTGGTTAGCATCCTGCAGCAGCTCTGGGCCTGCAGTGACCTTCCTCAGCTAAAGGGATGACCTTCAACAGAGACCAGGCCAGTGGATTCACTACATCGACAGCAGACAGTCGTTTTTAACTGCAAGCGTATTGGGATTGTCACGATTAAGTTGATCAACACAAATAATGAGAACACCAACTCAGCCCACCAATTACCCCATTGATCTAAATTAAAACACTGTGCACCAAACTAGCGTGTGGCTGATTAAATCAGTTAATTTCTAAAATGTATTAAAGATGTGTGGTGTTGTGGCTTGAAACTGCATAGGCCCCTAAAGCATAACCTCCCCCCCCCCCCCCCCTTTATCAACAGGGCTGGCGAGGCAAAATGGGACAAAAACATGCGACACTGGGCTGAATCACCCCAGGAAAGGTCAACACGCCTCTCCCCTCTTTTCACATGGGATGAAAGGCCGTGGGTTATCGGGTTTCCCGCTTTCATCAACGTGATCTCTGCCCCGCGGGGCTCAAAACCATCACGTCCAAAACGGCGCAACGACGACCGGCTTCACCGCGCAGGCGACACGTCCATCAACTCACGCACAATTATGACCAAATGCTACAACAAACCCGGTTTCATTTTAACTGCGTGGCTACCAGAAAGGGCTCTAGTTGCTACCAGAAACCCGAAAACACATTGTATTGGGTTGAAACCCCCCCCAAAAAAACATGGAGACTAATCCACTTCCGCAAAGATGCAGGAGCTGCCAATGTCACGTTACCCTCTCGGTGAGACTATTACGTTGCAGATGAATATATTACAGTACAGAGACGGACTTCATTATTTTGCGGGTTGTCTTAACAAAAAGGGGCGACATTGGTGATGTTGGTCATGTTAATGCTAAAACAAATCTTTTTTGATGACGCCCATATGATGCAACCAAAACGACTCGGAGCCTTACGTAAGGACTCGGTCGGGACTTCAAGGCCGTGGCCGCATCCCCCCCATCCTCGCGTTTCTCCCCCTGTACTGACGCCTTCATCCCGAGAAAAGAGGCCGTTTTACAGATGGGACACGTCTGTCTGCCGTGCAATGGCGTCACTTAAGCTCAAGATATGTATGCCGCGGAGCATACAGTAAATTCTCTACTACAAAAAAAATAAAATTTAAAATAAGCATCTTTTTTAAACGGCGGCAAGGACACAATCTGTTAAATGCTTTTCAACTCCCCATGTCGCGTATTCCAGCTGTTACACGGTGATGTTCTTACCTTCCGCTTGATGCTTCTTGAGTCTGTGTGCGCAGTCCTCACTGCCGCCTTCCGCTTTTATACAGGGCACGTGCCACGGGGCGCCCGGTCTCCCTGACGACGTGACGTCATGTCCCCCTCCGCCGCTCGGCTCCATTCGGAACGAGGTGCCGGTCACGACCATAGATATGGTCACTACGGTGTCTCAATGTGCTGCCATAGTAACTAGAGGGATGAATCCCTCATCTGGTAACGCATTTTTTCACACGTCTCGTCCACGAATGACCGAGGGTTGCGTGGATGATTAAAGATATTATCAACCAGAGAGAAACACGCACACAGATGAGCGATTAGAGAAACAGATACGGGTAGGATGACAAAGTAAAAAAACAATGACGAAGCATTTAAGTCCCTTTGCCACCATGTACAGAGTTGGTCACGTGGATGTGATGAAATTGTGAGGAGAGACACTTGATGCATGGAAATAATTTATTTGAAATATGCAAAGACACGAAACTAGCAGCTGTAGCTCAATAGTCAAACACCACGGCATGCATGCTCACTATATGCATGGCGCAGGGTCCTTGTGGACGGCACATGTTTTATACCCAGGCCTCCATGCGCTTTCATCTGGAAAGGATGTAGACTGGGTCGCCTGTGTACGTGCGTGTGCGTGCTCTCAGCCTTATTACATAAGAAGTCATGCCACTATGGAGACAGCCTGTTCTGCCGCTTAACTCGATGTATAGTACGCCATGCACATATAGGGAATATTGCAACATAAAACAAAGGCAATGACTTATACACATTAAATCAATAGAACGCTCGATATACACCGAGCTGTTCTACACTCATTTCCTGTTTGGTTGTCACGGCACGTAAAACAAGCCTACGTGCGGGAGGGCGCGTTCACGTGTAAAATGGGAAATCCCTGCAGTGCAATAGGGAAGAAGCTGCAGGATTTACACACACTGCACATCCTGTCTCACATGTCGTCATCTCTGACGGCCGTTTGACATTCGCTGCGCAATGCAGGATTATCTCTTTTATTAGAGATCATAGCATAGCAGCGTTTAAAGTTGAAATGGTATATTACAATACAATCAGTGTATGTGTAGCTCTTCTGGGTGGGGTTTATTTATTTTCTACATTTCAGCACCATCACATGACCCACGCAGAACCAGAAATTAAAGTATGACCCCATCTTCTGGACAAACCATCACACTGCAGCTTATTGCTCAATCGTCCTGTTGATGTGTTAATGGTTTTAAATCAAGATACATGCGTGCTGAAATGATGTGCAGAACTGTTTTGAAGGTGGGTCCGTGTACCTTTTGATAGTTCCTTTTACCGTTTAAACAATAAAAACAAAAATATGGTCTCTCTTTTCCTCACGAGACTCTTTGACACCACACGGCTCATTTTGTTGGCTGTCAGCATAGTTCAGACGATATACTGCATGCAGCACAGAGAAGGTTTTAGTGTTTTTCTGGAGGACCCATGTTTATTCCCACAGAGGAGCTTTTATGTCTGCGGTGCTCACTGCAGTGGAAAGACTTTATTTCATCCGTAAGAAAAAAGTGTTTAGAATTGTTAAAGACAGCAACTTGAACCTCTGATCTTGATTATTATGTTTGGTCCGACCATGCAGGGCCATTTTGAAATACATAAACGTCAACAATCACCTTGTTCTTCATCTTAAGCATTTGAAGAACTGTTCGGTGTCAAATCCCCAAAAAATGCCAAGCCACCATTGAAATTGTGAGACATTTGAAGGTCCACCAAACCATCTTTATAATAAGATGTCTCTTTTTTTGCCATATTTTTCTTTGTAACAAAATGTACCCAGTAGTGTAGGATGAAGGCGCGTGACTCAATTTGAAGGCCATTGAATTACACTACACATGCATTTTCTTTGTGGTACAGCAGGGGGCAAAGTTGCCCTTTATTAAAATAGTAGTATGAGGCAACGCTATTCATGATCATTCTTCAGTCTGTTCACCTTCAGCTGAATATAATAGTCAAAGGGTAAAAATGACCCTAACCCTATTTAAGAACAAATATTATAAAAAATAAATATCAAAGCAGTGTAAAATGAGTGCACGAAAAGGTTTTGGTGTAATCAATTTATCAACTGCGATATCTCTTTCATACCAATTTCAATGAATCATGTGACCATTTTAATGATTTCTTTCCAGTTTTCTACTGAAGGTGGGTCGGCCTATAACCACTTATGGGGCATTTCTTTTTTTCTGCTACTGTTAATAAAGAATGAGTCATTTCAAGATGTTTGCAGGGAATCTGATGGACTGGTAGCAGAAAATACAAATGATAGCTTTTAATAAAAATAACAGTATTTTTACTCACCCTGCATGAACTGCAAACTCCAGCGTTCCATACATACAACTAATCAAATGAGAAGAAAAAAGCTATGCGTTGTAGTATGAGGAAAAACCTTTACAATATCTGTGACGGGTTCTTTGGCATTTTCTTTTGCGTTGTTTCTTTCCTCCACACACCATAGATTATGTCTAGGAAACAGAGGGCACCTGTGTAGCAGAACAAAGTATTTATTGATATTTAAACTTCCTTATGTAAACCATCAGATGAATTGAGACTCCAGCCAAATCTGTCATATACACCTCCTACGACTACTTAACAGGAAATTTAGGTCTGAGCGGAGGTGTGTGTGTGGATCTGCAGATGTGAACATTTATGAGATCTCAGGCTTTCCTTTCTACACAACATTGGAAAAACAAACCATTTGTCATTATACTTCAAACTTTTAAAATAATTTCCATATGTTCCAGTTATGTCATGCATGTAGTAGCCACAGCATTATGCTTAATTTTCACGTTTACATTACTCCATCTGATTATATCTTGCATAGTTTATCCTCACATTCTCAACCCACTGAACGTGATTTAAGACAACGCTAATGCTGTGGGCTTGAACAGTTCAACACACTGAGCCCATGGTACCATTAAAACAACCTCCTGACCCCCTCAGGCAGAGCGCTGGCCCTCTGATAATATTTTCATAGGCTGTGAATTATAAGTGTTTAAAGGGGCACTAATCGCAGTTACTCTCATGCCAAAGAGCTGCTGAGCATCAGTAAACCGCACAGTCTGCACAAAGAGCCTAGAGGCCAAGGTTTAACCAAAGTTAAAACATTCATTATAACAATTATTTTTTATGGCGTATCTGCCTTTTAATAAAGTATACAGTGGAAAATGAAAAGAAAGACGGGAAGGCTCAGGGATGAAATGCTGCAGAGCCATCTTTGGTCATTTAAACCTTTGACACCACTTATACAATGTTTGTGCCTCGGGCTGCAGCACATCCACAGATTTCCAAATTGTGTGACAAATATGGTGGAAGGCCACAGTGAGACAGTTGGAAGGTAAGGCTCGGGCTGGGCATGATGCTCTCAACAGCTATTGAGAGCGCAGTGTTCTGCCCCCACTGTGTCCAAACAAAACCAAAAGCACGGAAATAAAGTGAAATGCAACACACGCTCTTAGCTGAATAGTTGTTCATTTCGTCATGAATTTTCCGAGCACCATTAAAATGAAATCCCAATAAAGTGAGGGGTATTGCATTTCGGGGTTGTCCAGCAGAGGACAGCACACTTCTGCCAATCCTAAACTCAAAGCACGGCCATTGGTTTATGAGGAGGTGCAAGAAAGCCTTTTCTTTTCAAGAAACACATTGACAGTTGGCTAGTTTATCTAATGACGGAGCTAAGAGATGCCGGAGATGGCGGAGAGCGCATCAAGCTCCAGTCCGTCGGCCATTGGTCTGATGGTGGTTTTGATTTGGGGGCAGTGAGCCAGTGGATACCTGGATAACCTGTATTGGACTTCCTCTTCTTCTGAATTCTGTTCATTACTAACAATCCAACTTGAGACGTGAGAATGGAATAAGTGGAGTAATGGAGATGTGAGACTACGCGTTGTCTCTCAGGTAATAAAAAGCTAACCCGTCATCAGATGGAGTGGTGTTGTGGCTCTTTTCTTCTTCAAACGGACTGTTTACCTGAAAACAACCAAAGCCAGCTGAAACGAGATGTAGGCCGGAGCATTTCTGATAGCAAAATATCCCTTAGCCTCCAGATTCTGGATTGATTTACAGATAACTGGACAGAGATTCATCAAATGGTCCTCCTATATATGCAGGTCAATAATACAAACTATTCTCACTCAGCAACAAGACTGATTATATTTTGGGATAATTTCTCAATTAAATGAACCCAGCCCCATCTCCACAGAATAGAAAGTTGAAAAAAACAACTTTGAATGGAACTATATAACACAGACCCAACAGGGTCCAATATCTGGATGATGGAAAATTCTACTGTCTGTGTGGAAGCCAGGCTCTGATGGTTTTGTTGAAAGAAGCTCAGCTGCTTTCAATGTCCTCCTGATCCTCTGCAGCCGAAACAACAACCTGGAGAACCCTAAAAGAGGAGCAGCTGCAGAAACTCGGATGAACACTGTGTTGTTTGTTCATTCTGAGTAGATCGGCCAAACAAGCAAGTGGGCGAACAGTGAGCTGTCTACCTTTGTCTGCGTCGAACGCTGCACCGCACATCATTTTCATATAATCTTAGGCAACTCAAGACCATTTTTCCGAGTTCCTTTTCAATGACAGTACAAAAAAAAGATTCCAGAGTGATCTGAGAGACGGATCAATCAATCGGTGCATCCGTCTAGATTCCTACCTTTCCTTCCAACCTGCCTCCATATTCACTGTGCATATCTCCTCCCCTTCCTGTACCCTTCTGCCATGTTTTCTTTGGCCTGGCACTGAGGGACTGGAAGTGTCACCTCATCACAGCAGAGTTTTGTTTCCCTTGGAGGCTGCAGTAGGATGTCTGTTAATCTGATCTGAAATCCATGGAATTGGCAGCTTTCTACAAACACCGTTGGCTCTCAAACATCTATGAAGTCCGTCTTGTCGACATTGTCTTTCATAAAGATGGACGGCCTGTACGAATGTACAATCAACCTCAGCAGTGCGTGGGAGCATTTTACCTTTCCTTCCTCTGGCTGGCTTTTTAGTATGGAAGAAAAAAGCTGTTGTGCAATAAAA